CGGTTCAGCTGTAGGCTACATGTTGCCGACCAGCTTAGCAACATGGACTGGAGCAAGAGTTTCAGAGTGGTGAGTTATTAATCTGTAACAAAAGTATCTTTCATCCATAAAGTTTTAACTGAGCTCTGTCTCTACATCACAGGAACAACTTCCTGTCCACTGACTGCCTGGAGGGTAGCTAGTGTTTGGAAGAGAGAGGATGTGTGTGCTGCAGCTCACTGTTTTTCCACCGGTGTTTTTGAGGGCGTGTCGGACTAGCTGCTCAGCGAGCATGATGACACGTATTATCATTGTGACATCACAAGAAAGGGAAGTAAAGGCTGGACTACAAATGAGCTGTTTTCAGGCAGTTTTCTGTAGGAGATGGGAACTCCCTTTGGGCTGGACTTTGGGCTTTTTCACTTTGCAAACCTGTTACATGCACAAAAAAGGTTTATAACTCAATAAAGGAGAGGGGAAAAGCCAAAAACCATAATACCACCTCTTTAACTGACTACAGAACAGTTTCATTTGTTCCATCAGCTTGTTACTCACAAATCATTGTTAGTTAGCTGATGTCATATACCTGGAGAAAAGCTGCTACCTGAATGTTTAGGACGTCTGTCAGGCAGTGGAACGCTTTGTGCAGCAAACATGTAGAACACAGATGTTTAGTAGCTGGAGTCTACAGCTGGACAGATGTGTCCATGTTGTATTCCTGTTCTGAGCTGCAGCTGCCTGACTGTGTGATGGGACCAATTTATGCTTCTGTGTGAAATCTGCACCATAGTGTGAACCGCACCTCCCTAAAGATGTAACTACACATCACAGCAACGCAGACTGCAAGATGTGATTGGTCGGCTCGTTAGTGTCGCATTTCCTCCAACACGTTACCGGCTCGTCCTGCTGCCTCAACCTGTTCGAGGGTCATACATACCATCTCCTCCGATGCTTTTTCACGTTTCTGCGTTTTAGTAATTTCACTAAAAGTAATGACAGTTCAGCGTCGACCAACTCCAACTCCAACATGATCCGGTCACTTTCAGTCTCCATCGTGTGTAGCTGCCTACACTAGGCTTTTGCCGATTGGCTCAGCTACCGACAATTGCAGGGAGGATCAGCGATTGGGTTTTCATGCACCGATACTAAGGCAATTTTAACTAACTCACTATCAGTCACGGTAATTCTGTGGCAAACACCGTACTGTGCATTTACAGATGCTTTCTCTTAAAGCTAACAAGCCTGTTTCTTCCATGCTGGCATTTCACTGACTTGCTGCAACTTAACACCGGGCAATCAGATCACCAATCGGTGATCTCAAGTAGCCATGTTCAGACGATATGAAAATAGAGAAGATCGCCCAACCCTAGCCATCACCAACGAAGAAGAAGAAACTCAACACAGTGGAGCATAGAAACCACACCGCCAACTAGCGTTTTGGTGAAACAGACACCCACGCACAAGTTAAATGCTCACGACAGCATAGGTAGAAGTATAAGTTAGCAGTAATGTTTGTGAGATACAGCAGCAAGCTTACAGCTTCTTCTACTGTCAGACCAGTGAGCGTATCCGCAGCAACACCTGCAGAGGTACAGACCACTACATAATGAACACACATGGAGCATGCAGTGTTGTGAAATGAACAGGAAAAAACATGATTCAGTATCAGACTGCACGGTCACTGTGTTATCTTTGTTTGTAGCTACAATGTGGGATGCACAAAGAGAATGGGTCTCTTCCCAAACCGCAAAACCACCCTGGAGAACATAAAGAAACAGAGAGCGCTGCACGGGAACCACAGACACGGCGGCTCAGAGTCTAAGAAGAAGGTGAGGCAGCTGCCGGACTTCATCTGTCATGGTGTTAGTGTGTAAGATCCCTTAGTATGGTGACGTGAAGGGTAACCAGTGTCTTCTTTATCTAATGACGTGTTGTGTTTAACCCCTGTGACAGACTCAGACCGCCCCCCCTGTGCAGAAGCCTGCAGCTCTGTCCACCGGTCACTCGGTCCACCCTGCGCAGGGGGAGTCCAGCCAATGTTCAGACCTGTCTGGCTACAAAAGGCCGCCGTCCCCCCTGTCGGCCGGCCAGCTGGTGCCCACCGGGCGGGGCCCTGAGCTGCCCCTGCTGCCTCACAGCTTCCTGCCCAGCGACCCCGGCCGGTGGAACATAGAGGAGGTCTACGAGTTCATCTCCTCTCTGCCAGGTGAGCGCCGCCTCAGCTGTTACTGTGTCACGTCACGACAGTTTACAGGGGGCAAGAAGTGATGGAGGGGAGAGAGAGGAGCCCTGTTACATGTTCGTCATCTCTTCCAGATCCTGCAGTTTTTCAGCTTAGAGAGCAGTCTGAACTGTTAGTCTTCCTGTAAAGAAAGCTTTGGCTGCATCCCATAGGAAAACAGGATCGATGTCTCCGTTAGCATCGATCTTCAGCTCCTCATCAGCATCATGTTGAACCACCGCAGCACAGCTTTACTGTACGAGTCCGGTTCTCGTGTTGACCACGAGAGGAAAGTCAGTTCTTGTTTCTGATGGACCTCCAGAGACCATTTCCACCTTTAAGTAACAGCAACAAATGTGAAAATGAATTAAAAATAAACCAGAAAGGAACATCGATGAGTTTTACTTGTAGAAAATGGTACGTTTTGAGATTTTAGTTGCTTTTTCATTCAGAACCAGATAATTCTGATAGCAGTCAGGTAAAGTTAGTAAAGTGTGTGTGATATAGCACCTTTCACAGATCAAGAGTAAATATTAGAAACAAGACCATCAGAAAAGGAAACAAACAACAGTCAAATATGGTAAAACTGATCAAACAATCAAATATAATCAATAAAGGAACCTCTGGTGACGACTAATAATTATAACACTGTAGTGAAACCGTTCTCACAAGACGCCGTGCGCTGACTGCTGACTGCTCTGTGGCTGCAGGTTGTCTGGAGATCGCTGAGGAGTTCCGGTGTCAGGAGATCGATGGACAGGCCCTGCTGCTGCTGAAGGAGGACCACCTCATGGCGACCATGAACATCAAACTGGGCCCAGCGCTCAAGGTCTTCGCCCAGATCAACATGCTCAAAGACTCGTAGTCTCACACACACACACACACTCACTGTGACTGGACAGCACATGCTCAGGATCCCACATGTTGACCAACCCTGAGCTGATTCAGGTCCTAGGACGGACGTTTTCAGGACATATGAGGACATCAGCTGGGACCTGTTACTCTGATAACTTCAGGAAAACGTAGCAACAGGAGTGTTAGGTAGTCTTCGTGGTCATCATGTGTTACTGTAGGAGACCTTGACGATTAGCAATTGATTTGTTCTAGTTTTTCTCCCAGGAGCACGAGCGTCCGAGTTTTGGAACATTTTGGGAAACGCGCATTAGAAAGATCAGTGTCGCATCCTGTGCAGAGCTACAGTTAGTCCAGATCCAGGACTTTCATGGTCAGGGTCCTGCACTGCTTTCTCCCTGAACTGAAGGAAGACTACCTTTTCATTCAGTGCCCCGCCAATGGCGGCGCTCAGCCTGCTCCACCTTCACCTGGTGTGTTTTCACCTAACTGCAAGAGACTTTTCTTTTTTAGCTGAGTTTGTGTGTGACTTTATCTTTTAGTTTGAGGCGCTCAGAGACTGACATGTTGGAGTTCCAGCAGATGGCGATTCAGGACCGCGATCCTAGTTCAGGGCTGAGATACTGGACTGAACTCAATCAGCAGTTGGGAGAAACGCTGTTTAATGAGAGCTGGAGACATTTACTGACCACCAACCAAGATCCAGCACTGTGTGTAAACAGGCCAGGTGTGAACTGGTCTTTGTGCTACATGTCCTGGGTCTCTACTGGGAGACGAAGCCCAGGAGAAGCGGGTCCTGACTCTGGTAACACAACACACTGGCTTATTTTGCAAAATATGAGAGGTGTCAGAAAACACCTTGATTGAATGGCTTAATTTTAATAATTAAGAACTGTTGGTTCTGATGTTCTGATTATGTTTTTTCAGTTCAAACACGTTTCAGGTGGAGGCTGTCGACGGTCTGTACGTCTCATGTCTGATTTCTCCTGACAGATGCTCTGACATGTTTGAAAAGTTGTATTCCAAAGTATATTATTCTATTTTTCAAAGTGAATTCATCAGCACCGTAGTCCCTGTAGATGCTCCTCGTGTCTTAGTCGTAACCAATCAGTGGAAGAGAATCTGTCATTTACTGAGAGACGCTGTTTGTTTGCAGCATCTTATTTTGGAATAAAAGCAGTTTCTTTAGTTTCCTTAACGTGTGGTGATTGGGTCGTGGCTCTGACATCACAGATCTTCATTAGAGACACTTCTCTCCTTCAAAGCATTTATTTTTAAATACAGGAACTCAGAAATAAAACCGTTAGATAAACGATATTGACTGCATGGTATGATTTCCTCTGTGTTTCAAGCAGGAACTGAAAGAAGTGTGATTGTATAGAAGTCTGTGAGAAAATGTTTCTACTTCTCAGCTGATTTATTCCCTCAGTAAACACTTTCCTGATGAGTTTATGGTCTCAGTCGCTAGTTTCAAGTCTTCTTCAACACAGCATGATGTTCATTTAGTAAATTGAGACCAGGAAGCAGGGGAGGCTTTAGGGCGGGGCTACCTTGTGATTGACAAGTCTCTACCATGGCGACCTCTCAGAGGCGACTCGTGGCCGCTGCGCTGTGACATTTAACCAGCGCCACTGAAAAAGCTTATTAGGAGTCGGCTGTTCATTTTTCTGTAAGTACATTTTGTTTTAAGCCTGTTTGTCGCTAGCCAAAATTAGAATCCCAGGTAATATCACAGTTAACGTGAATTACAGATGAACCTTGCTAACCTTGCTAGCTAGCTCCACCCTCTCATCCAAATATGGTCATGTCTGGTTCCAAATAACAAGATGGCGACGACCAAAATGCCAAAATGGAGTCTTCAGACCAACAGGTGACATCTCGGCGGTCTTCTTCCTTTACACCGTCTGTGGTGCGTTCATCACTTTGAGTGATCACTTTAATAAAAATATTGCAGCTTTAAATTGATTTTTTTTATTGATTAGAAAGTAATAATTCCAGTGATACAGCAGACTCCAAACGCTGACATGACAAAAACAAACTGCTGCTCTAAAAACCCAGAAACACACAGCTAATTATCCACAACACGATTATACACTTTCTCACAATCACTTACTCCCCAAAAGAAGATCAGTTACAATCAGATTACAGCCGTGAGATCAATAAATTAAGGCACACTCGGTGGTTCACATGAAATAAAGCATGTAAATTATATAGTCTGACATGACACGCTCATATCTGTTGTTAAATAATCAAATGAACTTCCAGTCAGAATCCAGACATGGCCGCCGCCGTCAGCAGCAGCAGCAGCAGTCCTTTACCTTCAGTCTGCTGATGCGTTCACCAACAGCTTAGTGAAGCCCAACCTTAAAAACATTCAAATTTGCACCTGGTGACTTCAGTGACATCACAGCAGCTGTTTCAATATGATGTCATGGGTACAGGTGTGCTGTGACATCACCAATGGGGGCGTGGCCCCAGTAGCTCCGTCCTTCGGTTACGATAACACCGTACTCACCACTGATCCCGGAGCTGACAGTCGCCAGGCTTTGGTGTGTACGATGTAAAAACCCGGTGGGCAGATGTAAGGAAACCAAAGTTGGAATAACGCGTACTTTTAAACACTGGTCACCGCAGCTGAGGGTTACACGGATTCTTAATGGGACTTTTATTGACGAGTGAAGCAGCAGGAGAATGTGAACTTGGACGTGATGTGGCCGACAATTGTGAGACGGGTTCAGAGAACAGAAACACGAAATGCCTAAAAGCACCTCTGGATCTGGTTCTGAAGAAACATGACTGGAAAATCCACCTGATGATTTGGTGGTCAGATGACTTCTGTAAATGCAAATGTTAAACTAAGATGATCAGCATTAACTGCTAAACTCATCTTTCAATGCTACCAATTCTACTTTTGTCAGGTAACTGAATTAACACCATACCTCTTTACGTTTTGGAGATTTAAATATTTTGCAGATGACTTTCAGTTATTGTGAATTTGGGGTCCCTTAACATAACCTGGATGTTTATCTGGTAGGTTGTTAGTTGAAGGGAAAAGCCATCCGTCTTCCTCCTCAGCAGGTGTCTCCAGGTGTTGGGGAGTTGCATGTTTTAAAGTAGAATGAGACATTCAGGGTCTCAGAGGGAGATGTCTCATAAATGTACTCAGGTGATGTCACCTGAGTCAGCGTCAATTGAAAACTATGAGTGTGAAACTGTGTGCAGTCTAAAAGAAGTGAGCTCAGACATTTGTAGCTGCTACATGTACAACACACCTGAATCTACCACACAAATGTCAAGAGGAAGGGTTGCATTGTGGGTAATGTAGGCGACAAGACGAGTTAGAAGAATGTGTGACTTGGATTCTGTCTCGTGTCACTGGAGATGATGATGTCAGTTCTCTTTTAAAATAGTCTGAGGGGCTTCAACTGGAAAACATCACTTGAGTCTGCATGTTGTGTGCATGTGAGAAACTGCAGTTTCCAGTGAGATCAGAGCGCGTGCAAATAAAATGTGGCTGTTCAGAGGTTACACACAAATTAATCTGCAACAATTTAAATAATATATTAATTATTAATGCAATTTTCTAAGTTAAAATTCAAAACATTTGCTGAACATCTTCTGATCGGACAAAACATTTAAACCTGCAAACCTGGGCTGTGAGACATTCTCATGATGTTCCACAGACCAATCGATGAATCAATAACTGCCCTGTTTGGTTTTAAAGTCCTCTCACAGCAGACCTGAGGGACAGCAGACGTCAGCACCAGCACACAAGTTAATGTCTCCCATGCTGCCAAAGCTCAAGCAGAACCACATGTGGAACATGTGCACAGCACCGCAGTGTTCAAGCAGCGCTCCTTGTGTCACTGCAGTCATCTTCACCTTTGCTGGAGACCTGGTGAAGTCAGAGGGGAGGATTAAAAACGGAGGACAAACAGACCTCCACCACCCGACACCGCCTCCCAGGAAACAGACAGACAGCAGCAGTAAAGAGCCGAAGCCAACCCAGAGATTTGTTGTTAATTTAATCGAGTGATTCGATATAAAACATCATCAAAACGCAGGAAAGAAAAAGGAACAGCAGAAGACGACTTATCTAACCTGCAGGTTTGTTTGTGTCTGTGTTGGATTATCTTTCATCAGGTTGTTAACAGACTTCAGATTAGTGAGTGCAGTGTTTTCACTAAACTCACAGTTCTGCTGAGCAGAGCCACAAAAACTCATTTTAAAAAGGACCATACCAACGTTCAGGCTCATTTACTACAAACCACGTTCATGTAAGCTTCAAGCTTCATCTACACATGCTGCGGGATTTTAGGTTGTGTTTTTCCTACCCTGAAAGGAGTTGTCATTATCACACTCACTTGCTTTATTTGGGTCAAGAATCGCCGGGAGCTTTAAAGCCGTTCTTCTGTTTGTCAAAGATAGTCACCCTGTGGACGTTTCCTTCTCACTGTGTGACCTCAAGGCCAGTCTCACAAGCGAGCAACCACGAGCTGTCCACACGAGAGGTCAGAGACTCCACAGGGTTCCTTTAACACCGACAATAAAGTCACTTTATTGTTATTAGAGTGAAACTAAAATCCAAACACCTTTCACCACTTTGGAAAATATTCCTTCACTTAAGCAAATCATACGCGATTTATTAAAAATGCATAAACGCTGGTACGGCCCTGAAGAATGTGACACAACATTAAGCTCCTAATCTGAGAGGAAATAAAATCTCTTGTGCTTGTTTTTCTTCCTTTGCATAAGAAGTTCTTCTGACAGGTGTGCAGTCCGACAGGTGTCCAGACACTGAGTGAAGGCTACTGTTCTACCGGTGCTTTAACTTTATCGAGTCCTTCAACACAGAACAAGAACTGTGGCGTCACCTTTAGTGAGTGGGGGGGGGGGGGGGGGGCTACTATGCCAAGCAGCTCTGAACAGGAACGACGTGAGATGGAAAATAAAATCACTCACAGACAAGGTGAAACTCAAAACTGAGAAACCCGCAGAGCGTCAACAGAGACAGCACACACACAAGTCAAACCCGCAGCAGTGTTTTTCATCGCTGCCGCCATTTATACCTTGCTCCTGAAGAGGGGCTTAGCGCCGGGGCCACAGTACTCGTTGTATATGAGCTTGAAGAGGAAAAGGTGGAAGAGCGTTATGAGCGAGGCCACGCTGAACCAGAACAGGAAGGGCAGGCCCGGGTACCTGTTGGCCATGTGCTCCTCGTGGGCCAGGATGGCCTTGAGGTGCAGGGTGTGGCGGAGGTCCTGCAGGTGGCGCAGGTCTGTGGAGATGTACAGCAGCGGTGTGATGGGCTGCGTCACCATCACAGGGAAGGTGTGACCTTTGACCTCCGACGTCAGCTCCACAGGCTCGTTGAGGCAGCCGGCCTCGCAGGCGTACAGCTTCACCGGCGTCTCCTGTGGCTTCACCGACACGTGCAGGAAAGGCTTCCCCTCTGCGTCCAGCAGCACCGCCAGGCTTAGGAGGTCCTGGTTGTAGTGGATCCCTCTCAGGGCGTAGCTGTTGTGTAGCACGTCCGGGTCGGCCTGGAACTGCAGGTGGTTCTCTGTGAACTGAAGGCCGCCGAAGCTTAGCACCATGCCCTGCATGGCCCCATGGGCCCCGGCCGCCACCAGCACCTTGCAGCCTCTCTTCTGCAGGGTCAGGGTCCACAGTGTGACCAGCTGCAGGATCTGAGCGGCGCTGCTCACCCGCTCGGGCCACAGGTTCTCTGCGTGCATGGTGGCGTGGCCGCTGAAGCAGTGGTCAGCGTAGTTGAGGCTGGACTCGAGACGGGCGCGCTCCTCGCCGCTCAGCCTCCGATCCAGCAGGGGCGCCGCGAAGGAGGACAAGATGTAGTAGAGGGTGGTGTTCACCGTGCGGCTAGACGGTGTGTGGGAGTCCGTGATCTTCCTCATTTCTACACCTGAAGGAATAAAGAAGAAGTTGTTCACAAAGGCCCTGTGTGTGTGTGCCGTGTGTGTGTGTGTGTGTATCCTCTGTGTGTGCCCTGTGTGTGTGTGTGTATCCTCTGTGTGTGCCCTGTGTGTGTGTGTGTGTGTGTGCGCCCTGTGTGTGTGTGTGTGCGCCCTGTGTGTGTGTGTGTGTGCGCCCTGTGTGTGTGTGTGTGTGCCCTGTGTGTGCCCTGTGTGCCCTGTGTGTGCCCTGTGTGCCCTGTGTGCCCTGTGTGTGTGTGCCCTGTGTGTGTGTGCCCTGTGTGTGTGTGCCCTGTGTGTGTGTGCCCTGTGTGTGTGTGTGTGCCCTGTGTGTGTGTGTGCCCTGTGTGTGTGTGTGTGTGCCCTGTGTGTGTGTGTGTGTGCCCTGTGTGCCCTGTGTGTGTGTGCCCTGTGTGCCCTGTGTGTGCCCTGTGTGTGCCCTGTGTGTGTGTGCCCTGTGTGTGTGTGTGCCCTGTGTGTGTGTGTGTGCCCTGTGTGTGTGTGTGCCCTGTGTGTGTGTGTGTGTGCCCTGTGTGTGTGTGTGCCCTGTGTGTGTGTGTGTGTGTGTGCCCTGTGTGTGTGTGTGTGTGTGCCCTGTGTGTGTGTGTGTGCCCTGTGTGTGTGTGTGTGTGCCCTGTGTGCCCTGTGTCTGTGTGTATCCTGTGTCTGTGTCTGTGTGTATCCTGTGTGTGTGTGTACCCTGTGTGTGTATCCTGTGTGTGTGTGTGTGTGTACCCTGTGTGTGTATCCTGTGTCTGTGTCTGTGTGTATCCTGTGTGTGTATCCTGTGTCTGTGTGTGTGTATCCTGTGTGTGTATCCTGTGTCTGTGTGTGTGTGTACCCTGTGTGTGTACCCTGTGTCTGTGTGTGTGTACCCTGTGTGTGTGTATCATGTGTCTGTGTGTGTACCCTGGGTGTGTACCCTGTGTCTGTGTGTGTGTGTGTGTACCCTGTGTGTGTATCCTGTGTGTGTGTATCCTGTGTGTGTACCCTGTGTCTGTGTGTGTGTGTACCCTGTGTGTGTACCCTGTGTCTGTGTGTGTGTGTACCCTGTGTGTGTATCATGTGTCTGTGTGTGTACCCTGTGTGTGTATCCTGTGTCTGTGTGTGTGTGTATCCTGTGTGTGTGTGTGTGTACCCTGCGTGTGTATCCTGTGTGTGTGTGTACCCTGTGTGTTATCCTGTGTCTGTGTGTGTGTGTATCCTGTGTGTGTATCTTGTGTGTATCCTGTGTCTGTGTGTGTGTGTATCCTGTGTGTGTGTGTATCCTGTGTCTGTGTGTGTGTGTATCCTGTGTGTGTGTGTGTGTGTACCCTGTGTGTGTATCCTGTGTCTGTGTCTGTGTGTGTGTGTTAGTGTGCGTGCGTGCGTGCGTGTGTATAAGTAAAACTCCACAAACCAGAGTGTGTGGCTGTGTGTGAGGCTGGAGTGGTTCTTCCGGTCGTCGTCTGGTTCTTCTCGCTACGGTTGCTCAAACTCTGGTATGAGAGTTCACAGCTCTCACATTCTTACTGTTACACTGTGCACAACTTTTCACGTTGACTCTGATGAACTGCTGCTGTTAAATGTTTTTAAATCTGTAACCCAGAGCTCAACATGATGGCCGCCACACTAACAGAATAAATACTGGTTCCCCACTGAGCTGATGATCCTCATTTTTGTAAGCGGGAGTTTCATGAGGTCAGACTACACTTTTATCTGGTACGTCAAGGCTTTAAGTCTAATTTGAATTGAAAATATTTGTTATTGTTTTATTTTACTCTTGAATACCCTTTATTATTTTGTCTTGTACAACGCTCTAACTCAGTCCAGCTGATCGCTTGTGGATTAAATTAATACATTTCACACCCGTCAGCTTTGTTGTTCTTGATCTGTAACAACCTCACAGACAGAGTGTGATTTTAGTTTTGACTTCTTGTGTTAAATGAAAGTGTGAGTCTGTCACTCGGTTCACATCTGTCTGTTTGTGCACTATTTAGCAGAAGATATGCACACTTGTGCAACACCAGCGTCTCCACAGGCTGCACAGCGTGATCCACCATAAAGATCATATCAGTGGTCACGGCCTCCAGAACAACAAATGAGTCTGGATCAGAGGCTGCGTTAGGCCGGTGTGAGAGAGTCACCTTCAGCAGGTACAGGTGTGTTCCCTCTTATAGATTTCTGCATGGTCTTCCCTGTGTGTGTCGCATGTACAGGACTCTGATCTCCTAAAACCCAGTTTCTGGCTCACCTGAAATGAAGAGGTCCATCCAGGCCTTCTGGTGATCCGCCACCAGCTCGTCCACGCTGGCCCTCAGCAGCTCCCCCAGCTCCTTCTTGGCTCCGTCTCTGAGGCTGCTGAAAGTCTCCTCCAGCTTGGAGGACTCGATGGGCTCCGAGGTCCACACCACGGACAGGATGTGGTCTGTGTGCTCTGACTTAGCAGGGACCTGGATCCTGCTGCCCAGCTTCTTGGTGACCACCACCACCAGCACCATGCGGTTATTCTCCACAGGGACCCTGCCGGAGCACAGAACCACGTCCCGGTCCTCCAGCTTCTCCACGCTGGTGGAGAACTTGCTGCCGAAGGACAGGTTGTCAGAGGAGATGTCCAGGGAGGCGGGCCTGTCGGACGGGTTGTTGATGTGGACCCGCTGCAGGTACACGTTGGGTCTGCTCCTGTGAGCGATGAACTCCTCTCTGATGGTGACACAGTCCCGGGTGGACTGCAGACCTGCAGGGGAGGCGCAGCGAACCGACAGCACGGCCCCCTTCCTGAACCACAACATGGCAGCCTGAGCCTCGACTCGCTTCCCCTCCAGGTGGACTCCGACCCTCGGAGAGTATTCAGTCTGGTGGACCGGAGCCGACCCGGGCTGCGAGGAGGACGCCACCCACAGTTTGTTCGCGTCAATGTCGATTAGAATGTGTCCGTTCCCCGAGACGAACGGGGAGTCCACCTGCTCCTGGGGCGTGCTGTAGATCCCCTCTCCTCGGTCCACCAGCGACCTCCACCTGTGGATCTCAGCCAGCAGGCACTGTCCGGCCGCCCCGCCGGGCATGGCCGAGCCGCCGAACAGCCTCCACCTGCGCTCCGCTCCCAAGTACCAGTAGAAGATGAGGAAGACCAGGAGCCCGATCAGGATCCGCCTGGCCCAGCTGCTGGACAACAAGCCCGGGAGCCCCTTCAGCCGCTGCTGGAGCCACATCCTGTTCAGAGCCCGCCTAGAGTCCGCGTCCAGAGTCTGCCCCGGGGGGTCAGGGTGAACTTTTCAGGCTGTCACACTCTGAACATGGTCCCGGGACCCAAGCTGACAAACTGGCCCCGCTAGCTTCTGGCTAACTTAGCTTAGCTCCGGAGCTAGCGCTGCGGACGGAAGCTGTCGGAACCTGTAGTAACGTTAGTTTCTATCATCGTGGTTCCGGTCCGGTCCCTCAGGTGAGCTCTCCTGTCTCAGGGCATGTCGGGGTTCTGTTTGTCTCCAGGTTAAAACACCACCAGTCTTCTTCTCTAAGAACTCCGCAGCTGCTGTTGACTTCACACTTCTGGTTTGTCACAACTGTCGTAAAGTGAAACGACACAACACCAACCGGCAATGTCGCAAATATACGACGCAAGAAAAGCAGAAATGAAAACAACACGTTGGCGAATAATGTGTAAAATAATATAGATTTAAATACTTTCAATTATTAAATCACAAAGAAAAACATTTTTTTATGTTTTTTTTTTAACAAATTAAAAATATACCTATAAACTTTTTATTTTATTTTATTTTGAAATGTGGACCGCATCAACGGCATCAAAAGTGATTCAATAAAACTTTTTTTTTAAAAACATTTACAAAAGGAAAATTAAAATATACAAAAAAAGCAGAATAAACCCTTTTGGCAGATGTTTTTTCAGTCACAGAACAAAATGTACAATAAATGTATAATTAAAATCTTGATAAAAGTATTTCTAACATCTTATTTAGTTGTTTTTTACTTGTCTGGTTTTCTGAAAATACCTAAAACAGGCTTTAATTGCTGTAAGAATTCCTCCTGCTCATAGTTCCAGTGTAAGAGATGGGGGACAAAATCCACCATCCTCGTTTTAAAGTGTATCTGAAGCTGAAATGAGGCTTCAGCAGTCTGACTTAGACAGAACAAGTGGATATCTTCCAAAGTTACAACCTCTTAAGCACCAAATACATTCTCAGTGATAGTGACCCTCCACCAGAGATGGGCAACGATACAGTAACTTGTATATTCTTACAAAATACTCTTTAAATAAATGTATAAAATAAAATACTGCTGCCAGAAAAGGTATCAAGATAAAATACATCTATTTGGTATTTTCAAAATACAGGAACATACATATGTAATAGTGGATATTCTGAATCTGTACAAAATGCCAGAATATTCAGATGTTTATAATAAACACAAGGCTGTTTGAACCCCAGTGGAAGCAAGACAACAAAGCTGAATATTACTGTTTCTAAGCAAAACTGTAAATACAAAAATAATACTGAAACTAAACTCTTGTAAAGTCTGTAGAAACTTGCTTTCTGTCCAATGCAAACACAAGGCAGTTCTGACCCAAACAATACCACTAGCAGCCTATTTAGTTTCCTTTAAGAACAACAAACTTGAAATATGTCAAATACCAAATACTAGAAAGTATTTCAGATACGTAGTAAAACTGTCCATCACTGCAGCTCAGCAGGGAAAGAGGACAGAGCAGGAGTATGTACTGAACAGACTAGAGGATATCTGCTGATTGTCTGACTCTACTCTGAAAAAAACATCCAAACTGTGTAAGCTATAGATGGCGGGTGAACAGAGCAGCCATCATTGTGTCTATTGATTTTATTTAATGTTAAAAAGTGCAAGAACATTTACACTCAGCTGCCAGTTTGTACACCCAGGTGCACTCTTTCAGGATAGTTCTAATGTTCGGATTTAGTTTTAGAAAGTTGTTGATTCAGCTTCCTTGTGGAGGATGCAGTTAGTGCTGGTGTTAAAAGGTATTTTTAATATTGACTCTATCCTAATCAGCAAGAATGAGGACACACTAAATATCCACATTCTCTTTTCTTCTTACAAGGTTTCTACCTTAGGATTCAAGGTCCCGTTCTAATCTCCATCTATACGCTTCCCCACAAACTCAAACATAATATTCAGTTCCACTGTTACGCCAATGACACACAGCTCTATCTCCCAGTCAGACCTGCTGACCAAATAATTGTCATACAACAAACCATTGTCTTTGAAGAATTTATTAATAAAAAGAGAATGACAGAGAAGTACTCTAACAAGCTGGTCCAGAGACCTGCTGCCGAGCGCAGCTTCGAGTGTCTGGCCCAGAGCAAAGAGATGCATAATCATAGGTTTCTATGTTTTGGAGGAACAGCAAGAAAGGAAAACATTAAAACAATCTCACAGCTCTGACCTAAACCCTACATATGAGAGATTACTATAATGAGTATAATGATTGGAAAAGGTTAAAGATAATATATATATGTATATATATGTGTGTGTGTGTGTGTGTGTGTTTTTTAGATGTTTATATGTTTTCAGCCACACGTAAAGAAAGTTGTTCAGGTTTGTTTTAATCATTTGAGAAATAAAGCTGAGGTTAAGTCTTTTATTTCAGCCACAGATCTGGAAAAACTTATCCAGGCTTTTATGTCCTCGCACCTCGACTGCTGTAACTCAGTTGTACCTGTCTTAGTCAGAAACCAGTTCATCGCCTACAGTTAGTCCAGAAGGCTGCAGTTGTCAGCATCTTTCTTTTAAGATTGATTTTAAAATAATAATCTAATTACTTTTAAGGCCAGACATGTGCTGGTCCTTCTCTACATCTCTGAGCTATGAGCCGGGACGCAGACTGAGATCCCATGGTAACTATTCCAAGGTAAATTTAAGGGGATAGGACCCTTGCTGTCTAGACCCCTAGAGTCTTGAACAGCCTATTTATAAGTCAATTATACAAACATGCTTTCACTGTGTGATGTGTAAATTATTGTTTCCTTTGTTTGTATATTGACTTGTTTACAGTTTATATATTCATTGTTGTACTGATGTTTATTCAACTTGTTTATGTTTTCCATTGATTGAAGTAAAGCAGTTTGTGATTGGAAGGTGCTGAACAAATAATGCTATTATTATTATTATTACTGTAATAAGCTATGTACATGTTACAATGACTGAATGAAAACAAAGACACACTTGTGCAGGGAGGCCAGGCTACGTGCAGGGGCTCATGTCCACAGAACAGCTGGCTCAGCCTTTTCTTTTTTTCACCCGGGTGGAGGTGGGCGGCGCACATTCATGCAGTTTAACTCACCAGCCTCCAACATTACCAACATCTGCATTATTAAAAACCAGCGCGCAGAAAAACTACAGCTTCACTGCGATTATCCTGCTGCCGACCTGCACACAGGTGGGCTGCCTACGGGGAGAGAGGGGAGACTGAGGGTGAGACAGACTGAGGGTGGGGGGAGACAGAGAAGGACCATTCCGCCATTTCCGTCCCCTGGGAATAATGTGCATAAAAATGCATGAAAATGAACTTTAAGAAATATACAGAGAAGTGGACAAAAGATCCAAATCAGCGACGAAGAAAACCAAGAACTCAATGGGAACTGTAATGAAAATATTTCCCCAACTGCATTTTCCTTCTTATCTTTATTTATATCAACCGTTTTTTGTTTGTTTCCTTTTGTTTTGGTGCTGTGTACTGCCTTGTTAGCACGACTGAGTCCATGTACAAGTAAAAGATGGATAACAATTACAAATTTAAGAGGCAAAAAAATGAACTTCAAAACACATTTTATTATTAAACTATTATTATTGAAGTATCCTTCACATTAAGCTAACTGCAAAAGCAAGATTAAAACAACAAATTAGCTAGAACACTGAAAAATAGCATTTGTTACCTGTCCCCACTCACTGAGCCTACGTGAACCATGAAATATAAAGATTCAAATCCTGCAGAAATGTGAGTGCTGAATCTTATATAGACCGAGAAACAGACTGGGAGAGAGCTTTTTCTATACAGTCTGGGGGGGGGGGGCAGTGGGCGGTGCTGGCGGAGTCCCATGAAGTCCTCCTCCTCTTCCTCCTCGGGCTCAGTCGGCTCTCACCGTGAACACAGTGACTCGGGGAAGGAATCTAACTTTAACTCTGCAAAATGAAACTTTCGTGGTCGCTTCTGTTCCCGGGACTTTTAGTCTGCGCACTTTTCCTCCTGACAAACTGTGAGGAGCAGCGGATCCCCGAAGGTGAGTGAGGGACGGAGCGTCTCTGCACAGCGTGTTATCTAACTCACACATGCTGGGACGTTAAATGGTAATAATGGCGTTAATAAAGTTCCACTGTCTCAGTATAGGAAAACCGCTAACTCGGATAAACAACCTGTGGTCTGAACCGTCCGGTAGGACTTGCCACCACAGTGAGAAACTGAAAATAACAGTCCAGTTAGAGAAGCTGAGATTTTCCAGACTTGGCTTGCTGCATGCCGAATACTCATTTACACCTCGCTAAAGACATCCACTACTCTATTCTGTAACTTGCACGTTTCTTTTCCCATTAAAACACGCTGCTAAGAAGAAATGCAGGAGTTTAACTTTAGGTTCTGTGCGGGAGAGGGGGAGCTGCACGTAGCTCGGTGCTCGGGAGGGCGCTGACGTGGACGGAGCTGCTCACACCGACATGTTAGCGGTGGATGGGCTGTAGGTGAGCTGCAGGGACGTGCAGAGAGGGGATGGTGTTCAGTCAAGTCTGGTATGGACCTATAAAGAGACTTTATGTCTGTCTGGACGAGTTTGAATATATATTTCTCCTCAGTTTGCTCACAGTCTCAAACATCCTCCCTAATAGAAGACTTCCTAAGAAAGAGTTTGTGGTTGGTGCAGGGTCCCTCAATAAGCTTCTAAAAAAGCCTGAAATGGGACAGGATGAAGAGGAAACTACAATAAAGACACTTGATACAGAAAACCCAGAAACCAGATTTATTGAAACCTGCCGAAACCGAGATTTATTTTATGGGAATAAGACTCTGGACTAAATGAATGGGGGCAGCTTTGACCTATTTTTCTTGAAATGCAACAATGAACAAGTCTGTAGTATCACAAGAGTAGATTGGCTCTGTGATAGAAGATAACACTGACTTATCAAAGAGCGAGAAGTGTGATGAGTTATTATGGCCAAAATATTGTATTATATAGTTTGTCCCAGCAGTTAATAACTTATTACAACACGGCAGTTATTACCAGCACAGGAAGAGCAAAAATATTTTTATTATTTTAGTAAATACTTCATGTGATGGTGCACGGTAATAGATGAAGAATAAAAGCTCATACTTTTACTTCACTGTTCGTCTCCCATTATGCACAATCGAGACAAACATCGCAGAAGCTGTCAGGTGTGGCAGAACTTCTTGCTTCACGCGAATGGAAGATCTATGGTGTCATCTTTCTGAATTCCTCTATGTCTGCCAGGGAAACTTCTAGTCATGACGGTTGCAACCAAGGAGACCGATGGCTTCAGGCGTTTCATGGGGTCAGCCAAACACTTTAACTACACTGTCAAGGTAGGAACCCCTGAGTTCCCCTCCTTCTGTCTGGCTACGAAAAGCTGGGTCCTACTTTTCCCTCTAATGCAGTCATAGTTCTTAATTATGTCACTGAAATAAGCCACAATAAACATAAGCATCTTTCAGGTCTTCAGACTGCAGTGACTGGATGTGAGTGTGTGTTTTAAGGTCCTAGGTCGGGGTCAGAAATGGAAAGGAGGCGACTACATGTCAGCCCCGGGAGGAGGTCAGAAAGTACGACTCCTTAAAGCGGCTCTGGAGGAGTTTAAGGACGAGGACCAAATCATCCTCTTTATTGACAGGTAGGGTGTCTTCAGATTCAAATCTGCTCCTGTCAAACGGTGTTTAAAGGAGTACATGTGTTTTTTAATTGGTTTCCATTCATGAACTTGTCAGTTTTGCCTTGAACAACTTTAACTTAAGTGTGGGGAAGAATACTCAAAAAACATACTCAGTGAATATGTTATATCTGATGTTTTGGTGGGTCAAATGTCTTCACCTCTGTAGTTGTTAGTATATCAGACAGACTGGTGCTTTATGGGAGTTTTAGTAAAAATGCCCTGAACATGCTGAAACAAACACACTGTTATGATTTGTGGTGTGGAGAAGGTTTTTGGACCCAAATGCAGGACGCTGAGTGGAGCAGGTACAGTTCAAAAAGGTTTATTAACAAACTTAAGGTGAGCACACTTACAATGAGTGGCTGAGTCCAGGAAATCCAAAATAAACACAGTCCAAGCAAACAAGGTAATCCAACTGAAAATCCAGAAACATAAGTAATCCAAAAACTGCAGAAACAACAGGGTACAGGCAGGGAATGAAGAGCTATAACCACAACATGAGACAGAGCATCTACACACTACAATGACCGGACAGATACTGAAGGGAAACAGCAAACATTTAACCAGGGAGTAACGAGACAGGCAGCCAGAGAGACAGCAGGGGAACATACATAACACAGGTTACTGGACACTAAACACAGGCCATATCAGAACAATATGTAACAGATCAGAATAACAACCTAAGTCAGACACAATCAGACAGATCACAAATAAACTACAAACAGGGAAAACAGACTGAAGCTAGGATTAAACATAAAGACATTAACTAAGTCACAGAACCGGGAACTAAGATAAGAGACAAAACAGATACTAAGTAAACGAGACCATGAGACTGAATAAAACAACAAGGCTACACAGAGAAACACAGAACCAAAACCAGACTTAAACAGGATGGGCAAAACAGTAGAACACCAGACATGGAACCAAAACAAGACCAGAATCCTTAACTCATAACACACACTGAAATCCAGAGAGAGTGTGATGTTTTTAACACAACCACCAGCAACTTAGCTCTCCAAGAAAGCATGCTGGCATCGTATAAAGGCAACCCCTTCATTTGTTCTAACTGTGTCTCAGGCTTCACGCGCCAGTAAAGTTTTCTGTTTTCACTCCCTGTGTGACGCAGCTACGATGTGGTTTTCGCCTCGGGTCCCAAAGAGCTACTCAAGAAGTTCCAGCAGGCCAGACACAAGGTGGTGTTCTCCTCTGAAAGCCTGATCTGGCCTGACAGACACCTGGAGGACAAGCACCCTCACGTCAGGGAGGGCAACAGATTCCTGGGCTCAGGGGGTATGTGGGTCACACAGCTTTGTACCTGAATTAGTCCCGTCAGAATCAGAATCAGAGCTTTACTGCAAAGTAGTATTTACCACGTCGGAGGAATTTGCTTTAGTGATTAGGTGCTAGCATACAGCATAAATAAATAAATGTAAACACATATAAATGTGGAATTAACACATGTGCAAGTTATAAAAGAATAATAGATCTATGTGTACAAACAATGTGGATGTGAATGTGCATTACAAGACCAACCGAAGGCAGAGTTCAGCTGAAGGAACCGTCTGAGGAGTGATGTCTTTATGAGTGGGTCATTGTTGTGTTTGTTGTAATATGGACGGGGGCTACAGCACACAGGGTCCCCCTGGTAATGGTCTCACACTGTTCCACTGAGCTGCAGGTGGCGCTAAAGTGCTAGGAAACACAACAGTGTGCAAAGGCAGTGAAGAAGAAGCTGGTAAATATGCAGGATATACAGTCAGATAGTTACATTTCACTGTGTATTTAAGATAAATCTGAGGAAAGACTTGACCTCCAGGGTGCAGACACTCAGTGAGGAACTCCACACAAGGGCGTCACTTTGTGTTGAAAAGTGGTGTTTTGAAGAAATAGGAAATGCTGAAATAAATGAGCGGGAGTCTGCTAATCCTCCCCCAGAAAATTGGTGCATTAACACTTAATTTCCTGCATTCTGGAGACATTTCTGCTCCAGTTTACAGTGGAAATGTCTTTATATAAAGAGAAACAAAAAAATCAGCTGGCAGGTGAAATGATTAAATATAAAAATATAACAGAATATAATGCAGCAATAAGCTGCTTGTTTTTTTTTAGCTTAAGTAAGCACATTTGTTTCTTCTATAAATTGCACTGAATGTTTTCTTATTGTGCAAACTATTTTTCAGAACATTTTTAACAAATGATTTAGCCATGTCAAACTGCGTCTCCAGTGTAAAGAGTCCTATGACTTCACAGAGCGACTTTAACTGGAACACCGCCGTGAAAATCTTAGCGTCCAGTTCTCCAGCTGAAATCTCTGAGTTTGAGATATCTGGAAACACTGACGATGTTTAAATGAAGTAGCACACATATTTAGCCAGTTCATTTAACTACATATGGTATCATAAAATCTCACAAGTGACTTTACAAGACGACGTTCTGCTTACACAGAAACTGTGTTATACTTTAACAGCCTTGTTTTATACATGAATATGAAATGAAATTATTTGTTTCCTCCCCCAGGTCTGATGGGCTACCTCCCCAACATCAAGGCGATGGTTGCTGATTGGACTGGAGAAGATGGTGACAGCGATCAGCTGTTCTTCACCAAGATTTACATTGATCCAGTAAAACGAGTGAGATTTATTACGCTGCAGTGATCTCTTTAAGGATCTGTGCTTCATTAAATACTTTACTAAATAATTTTTAACAATGTTATATCATTTCTCTGGGATATTTTATTATGTACCATAAAAGTCCAGAAAAAAACAGCTTTTATTTTTTTATTCGCATGGTTTAATATTATTATTTTAAATCTGCTTTGATGGAAACATGATTTCTTGGTACCTTCAGGGTAATGTACATGTTGAGAAACACTGCTTTTATTCTATTTCCTGTTACTTTATTGAGCTGCTGCCAGTGGTTTACAGATGTTTCATATTAAAGCCCTTCCAGTAGCTCAGTGGGCATTATCGCCCCTGTTCCTGGCAGGCTTTTAATTTGAAACATCTGCAGGAAGTGTTGAGTTTTATTGACGAAAGTTTTACAGTAAACAAACCAAAAATGAAACAGCAGCGTACACGTGTTTGTTTAGCAGAGTGCTGAGAAACAACATTATACAGAGTTTACTGTGGGACATAAATGCAGCTTGTGTTGGTGTGTGTGTGTGTGTGTGTGTGTGTTGGTGTGTGTTGGTGTGTGTTGGTGTGTTTGTGCTGGCTTTTTTTTACCAGTTTGTGTGCTTCCGTGTTTCAGAAATCCATAAATATCACACTGGACAGCAAATGCAGATTGTTCCAGAACCTCCACGGAGCCCTCGGTGAGTACCTTCAGCCTCTGAGTCCAGCCACTGAAGTTTATGAAGCAGAGACACACACAGTAAGAAATAATAGGTTCATAAGGCTCAGAAGCTCTGGGAGTTTACACATTGTTCAGAATAAGTTTCTGATGTTTGGACCGAGAGGACAGCCAGCTCGGTGTCGATTCATTCTCTCCTTTAAATGTCACAGTAACTGCTGAAATCACTGCAGTGGTCCTTTGTGGCTCTGTTTTTAGAGCACTGGGTTTGAATCCCACTGAGGTCACATAAATCTGAACAAGCAAAACAACAACAACAATACATACATGTATATTAAACACATAGTGATAGTAAAAGCTATTTTAACAATAGAGAAATAAATCTTAAAGTTCTGCAGGTACTTTGTATGAACATGATGTGAAACATGTTCCAGATGTTTTGTTGTTGCTCAGTCAGTGTCAGATGTTTCTACAAGTCGTGTGCAGCCACATGAAGCGCCGCAGTTTAACCTGATCACAGTTTTCACAGTGAACTCGCTGTTTTTCAGCAGATGAATGAAGACAAAGTTCAGTGTGCTTCACTGGTTCTGTTTCTGACAGTATGAAGCATTTGAAGTGAACGTTTGATTGTTGTGGTCAGTTTGAGTGAACACGGGCTCTCAGCGGCGGCGGCGGTGGTGTGATGAGAGTCCAGCTGGGCCGCACCGACACAATCTAACATTGTAATAAACAGAGCTTGGAGATCCACTGAAATGCAGCCTCGAAGGTCCAGAAAAAGATAATGTTTAAGTTCTTTCATGATATTATGATACAATATCTTCAACTCTATTCTGTATATTGCTGTTATCAGTGTTATTGGTAGTTTGGGTTTGGGATAGTGGTTTGGGTGTACAGTCCTGTAGACAGTCTCGTCGTCACAGCTCTCTCTCTGGCTCCTGGCTGTGTTTGTGTCTCTGTCTGATCAATAATCTGGTTAATGTACCGCTGATGCATCAGCACACTGAGGGGTCTCAGAGCCGAGGGGTCTCAGAGGTTTGCAGCTGCAGTGATTTGTGCACGTTTAGACGTGAGCTGAACTCTCAGCTGTGTTTTTCCCTCTGAGGAAGGAATTTCTGGCTCGTCTGCAAGGCGGTGTGACAGAGCTCACATAGACAACAGGAAGAGTCTTCCTGCCCCCACAGATCCTCTCTGTAAGCTTTTCTGTTAGATGCCCCCCCCCCCCTCCAATTTGTCAAGTGTAGAAGAAGAATGAGAAGAAGAAGAAGTGAGAGTAGAAAGCTCTGGAAGTTAAGAGCCTGGTGTGAAAGTAGAAACATTTGTTAAATATTGACAGTAGCAGCACATGTTGGGAGGTCCAAACGTTTACACTACTGATCACTTTTTACTCAGTAAATCAATCTTTTTTGTGTGTAGCACTTTTCATACAACAGCAATGTAACTCGAAGTGCTTCCCACTGTAGAAACAAAGCCAAAAAAAAAGACAATAATGTCACCTCCACACACACACACACACACACACACACACACACACACACACACATATACAGATTTAAAGTCAAAGACAATAAAAACATGAGGTGAGGAAACTAAACTCAGAGGAAGAGGAAGGTATTAAAAGAAAAGTAAAACAAAAGATAAATATATATATATAATAATAATAAATAATAAAACAATGTATCAGTAAAACAGACTGAAATGTGATTACATAGATGAATAAATAAATGAATGAATTAACAGATTAATAAAATAAACACACACATTTATTAAGGACTAAACACCCAGTGAGCACGATCGTGGTAAAAGTAATGATGGTCTAACAACTAGATATGGACACGCCTTGAGTTCATGAACACGAGACACCTGATTTGATATTTTACTAAAATCTACTGTTAATCAAATGATTAGAAGCCACGTGACTCACTGTGAAGGCAGATTGAAGAATACCCGTTACCTGTGTGTGTGTGTGTTTCCAGACGAGGTGGTGCTGAAGTTTGAGGACGGACGTGTACGAGCGAGGAACGTGCTGTACGATACGCTGCCTGTCGTCATCCATGGGAACGGACCAACCAAGGTACGGACCTGTCAGAGCAAACCAACCAATAAGTGACATCCTTTCATCTGACACTGCACGGCGTATCACAGTGACATCACCAGACATAAATCTTGTGTTAGTGCAGAAAGGACAGACTTCCTCATGTCTCATGTCTTCTCAGCCACGTTCTTCTTCGTGAGCCGACTGAGTCGTGACTTGTTTGTCTTCCAGCTCCAGATCAACTACCTGGGTAACTACATCCCCAACACCTGGACGTTTGAGAGCGGCTGCACAGTATGTCACGAGGACCTCCGCCCGCTCACAGCTCTTAAGGTCTGATGACAGTTTAATCAATAACCGTCGATGTTGGTTCCTGAATAGGAGTAGTAAGGAAGTTCTCCTCCTGGATGCTTCTTTTCCAACAGGAGAGCGAGTACCCGCTGGTGCTGATCGGCATCTTCATCCAGCAGCCCACGCCCTTCGTCTCAGTGTTCTTTGAACGTCTGCTGAAGCTCCAGTATCCCAAGAACAGGCTCAAACTCTTCATTTACAACCAGGTAACAAACTGTAGAGGAATTTTAAAAAGGATGAATGGGAGAAGAGAAGGAAACCAGGCACATCTCATAGACATAATGCATCCTAGCCCCTTACCCCGATCCTTACCTGATTCAGACCTGAAGCCTAAAACCAAGTCTTGACGCTCAATCAGCCCTTTAAACTAGTGGGCTCCAGCATTTTGGCCCCTATTCTTTAGACTCCAATGCTACGTCATATTGGAATCTATTACTGTCCATAAGTTGTACTCTAATCTGTGGAGCCAGTAAGTTCTTGTAAGACTCAAGATTCCCAGAGAACACTGATATCTGCTCGCCTGACGCCTGAGCTGCTATCTCTATCTGATCAGCCTAACTGTCGTCTCCCTAACAAGGACAGAGAAATAACTAGAGCTGGAAGATCAGTGAACACTTCAGCTAACTCTAAGCTACACCTCTTACCTTTCCGTTAAATCAAGCCCCCTAAGAATATCCTTTAACACACACACACAGTGATTTGATTTTCATGCAGACAGGAAGTGGCGTGACATTTCAGTATGCACTTTCACTAAAAACTTTTTTTTTTAAAGAAATTTGGCTGAAACTCAGTTCAGCTGACTGACTCCATGGCAACATAATTTATTTATTTCAGGTTTATTAAACAATACACACTAATAATACATAAATAAATGTACAGGTGGTAATATGTCACACCTAAAAAGGATTAAAATAGTACATGCAGATTAAGATACAATAAAAATGAAAAAACTGAACTAAAAATTGACCGAACCAACATAGAAACAAGAACAGTGGGTCAATATCAACATCAACGCCAGCACACACCTACACACACAAGCCGAACTGTCAGACCATATAATAAACATGGTACAATAACGACATACATTTTTGGACATGCACAAAAAACAATAGCGGTTTAACCTCTCTAAACAGAAATGAGCCAGATTACCTCATAGGCCACAGGCAGGACAGAAAAGACAAGATAGCAGCAAGATGTAGTGTCTAGATTTAATGTTGACAGTGCTGACGACCACTTGGCACAACCCAAAGCATGATGGGAACTGTAGTGCCAACACGCAGGCTAGTTTTGTCTGTAATTAAAGAAAACCTTTAGGAGCACGTTAACTTCTTTAGTTCTGTATTCTGACAGAACATCTGCACGGTTCTCACGTCTCTGTAACACTCACTATGAAAGTATGCAAACGAAAAAACACCTTCAGACCTCCCTCCAAAGCACATTTTCCTGGCGGTGAGTGCCGATCATTTCATTTGGACTGAATAAAATGATTGACTGTGCTGATTACAGTCCTGCGGATTTGTTTTCTTTTTTGAGCATTTGATTTATTGATTGCTGTCGGGACGTAAAGAGAATTTCAACAACGAAAACAAAAAATGCATCTGAAATAAATTGTCTACCCCTGCTTGAGTTTCGCTCCTGTATGCCTCCTGATCATGATCATGTTATTTGACCCCACGGACATCTCGACAATTGAGTCAAGACTGGTCAAGGTCCTGAGGTGTTTTCTGTTTCTGTCTGGGAAAGAAAGAAAGACAGGGAAATATCTCTCCCATAACTCTTTATCTCTAAACTCTCTCACACATTTAGGCTTCTCTAAGTGAACTCCTTTTGAGATCTAATGTAATATTTTTTCACTTCCATTCACTGAGCCTCCCCTGAAACAGGCCCACCTCCCACTTTGGGAATCTCTGCTGTAGTTAACCGTAATATCTGCAGTGACCCGGGTCTCTTTTCCCTGCAGGAAGTTCACCACGAGCCTCAGGTCAGCTCCTTCCTGAAGGATCATGGGAGCCTCTATCAGGATGTGAAGTTCGTCGGACCAGAGGAGCAGATGGACGGAACCGCCTCCAGAAACCTGGGCTTGTGAGTTTCCTGTGAGCCGTGTCTGTCTGCTGGAACAGAGCGTGTGCCTGACCTGTTCTTCACCGAGTGTCTCTGCTTCCTCTCAGTGACATGTGCCGGAAGGACGGGGCCTGTGAATATTTCTTCAGCGTGGACATCGAAGTGGTTTTACAGAACGAGAACACACTCAAAATTCTCATTGAACAAAACCTGCAAGTATTTTTATCATAAATGAATTATGATTAATAACCCTGTGAGGTGCTGGGACTGCTGCGTGTCTGTAGCCATATAAATATACTAACACTCCTTTATCTGCTCCTCAGTCCGGTTGTGGCACCGATGATAACTCGATCTGGTCGCCTGTGGAGCAACTTCTGGGGAGCCCTCAGTGCTGAGGGCTACTACGCCAGATCAGAGGACTACGTGGACATAGTTCAAGGACGCAGAGTGTACGTTGCTAATACGTCGGTACCGTAAGACTTCAGAGGGATGTTTAGCAGTTAAAGGCGAGACAGAGACGCAGCCGCCCACACAGCTTTACACTGGTGGGGTGCACTAGTGTCTTTTAACAGCGGTGATCATTAATTATCAGTTATTCCAGAACAAATAAAAGTAAAGAGACGTGGGGTGGGGTGGGGGCAGTCACTATAATCAGCACTCTGACTTTCTCTTCTCCAATTCTTGTGTTTTTGGCCACTAAGCTACTGTCAGTTAGATTCAACACTTCCTGTGTTTGTATCAAACTAAAAGCCCACCCACGAGGCACACAGTGAACGTCTGTGCAGGAAAGTAGAAGCAAATGGAAAAAATCAGTGAATAAAAACAGCATTTGTGTTTACAGGACTCTGATGTTGTTCAGTTCTAATCAGCAGCATCAGAAAAGGTGGAGCTTCTTAATAAATACGATGAAACGGGTGAGACTGGGAGTCCCGTCTCTGGTCCTGGCGTTGGTTTGTGTCTCAGACTGTGTTGTTCTGCAGGGGTGTGTGGAATGTCCCGTACGTGTCCAGCGTGTACCTGGTGAAGGCCGGCCTCCTGCGATCAGAGCTCACGGACTACGAGCTTTTTACCTCTCACCTATTAGACCCCGACATGGCTTTCTGCTTCAGCCTTCGCAGCAAGGTCAGTATGAGACAACAGATAAGGGACAGCTGTTAGAAGCCACAGCATGTAAAGGAGAATTTCACTCAGTTTTGACTCAATCCTGCTGGAACTTTCCAGCCTAATGAAAAATGAAGTTTCTAATAATATGTGACCTGTGGTAAATCTTTTCTCGCAGGGGATCTTCATGCACGTCACAAACATGCACACCTTCGGTCGTATCCTGTCAACAGAAAACTATCAGAGCGGCCATCTTCATAATGACCTGTGGCAGATCTTTGAAAACCCAGTGGTGAGATATCAGTATCATATCAACATCAACTTGATATTAGTAGCTGTTGTAGTGATAGTGGTGGTGGTAGGTTATAATAAAATGTTAGTGAAAGCAGAAGTGTTTGTATAAAGAAGCTGGAGAGGCTGCAGTGAGACCTCACTGATCTAAAATAAGCACTACAGTTTTGTTAACATACACACAAACATGTTAAAAAATGTTGAAAAAGTATTTCCTTCAAAAAGGTTTTCAGACAGATCAGTTTTCTTATTTATTGTTTCAAACTTCTTGTATTCCACATCATGAAGCCTGGATCCCACCGGGTGTGGCGGTGTCATGTTCAGCTGTGATTGCTTGTGATTCCACCAGACGAGTTCCAGAAGCAGCTGTCCGCGAGTCTATTTTGCATAAGCTGCATCAAGTAGCACAAAGCAGATGAACCCAGCAGGAAGTCCGACACAGAATCTGCACAGAGAATCTGGTCAATTTTCAAAATAAAACACCCTGTGCAGAATCCTGATCGTGAATCAACAATAAACATAATTAAAACAGACACAAAAAGAAACCTTTTCACTAAGTAGCTTAATTAACAAAAGCACCATGAATGATCAGAATATCCAAGTCAGTAACGTCTGGCTTCGCTCCTGAAATCCTTCCAAGTGGGATTTGAATCCGCGCAGAGGACAGAACAAAACCGTGTCGCAACCGTGGCTGGTGGAATCCAGCTGTTAGTTTGCTCCGTGATGTACCTGTACATGGTTAGGAGAAAATTATTTGGAAGCTGAAACCAAGCCTGAGCACATGATTATGCACGAGTCTTACTCTAAATTCAGGTTAATTTCTCTTTGTGGCTTCATGCAGACCAGACCTAGAACATCATCATGTAACTGCAGAAGCTGCTGTGGAGGCAGAACAACAAAAACAAACATGCTGTGTGTGTGTGTGTTTCTTTCAGGACTGGCAGGAGCGCTACATTCATGAGAACTACACTCGCATCATGAAGGACAAGCTGATTGAAACTGTGAGTTGGACATGCAGACACACTCAGTCGCTGCACCAACATTTTCAACTCCTGTGTCCTTTTGTGGTCCTTCTAAATATACTGAATGTATGTGTATAACTCAGTGGTTAAACACGTCTTCCTCTGCCCCCCCAGCCGTGTCCTGATGTGTACTGGTTCCCAGTTTTCACTGAGCTGGCTTGTGACCACATTGTTGAAGAAATGGAGCACTTTGGGAAGTGGTCAGGAGGACGTAATGAGGTATGTTAGCATACAGTGTTTGTTTGTCCTGCTTCTTTTGGTTTGCATCATCAGTAATAATAAGTAGCTGTTACTGTTATTTGACGGCATTGTACATGTGCACATCACGCAGCAGCCTGAAGAACTGATCAGTGATGTTTGTTGTTGATGTTTAATGAGCTTTTTTTCTGTTTGTCAGGACACTAGAATCCAGGGTGGCTATGAGAATGTCCCCACGGTCGACATCCACATGAATCAGATCAACTATGAAAAGGAGTGGCACAAATTCTTGCTGGAGTACGTGGCGCCCATTACAGAGAAAATGTATCCTGGTTACTACACCAAGGTAAGACTTGTGAACACGTCAAGTCCAAACCGTCGCTGCCACACATTCTGATGAGATGAAAATAAGTCACATAATGTCTCCCGGTGATTCATACTAACAGGGACATCATCTGAAGATTAAGAAGAAGTTTTGCTTCCTGAAGTTATGACTGCTATAAACTGACTGACTCATGTAACCTACTTTGTGTCCAGACATTACAGTCGTGCTTGTACTGCATTTCCCAGAGTGCACCTGTCAGTCCAGTAAAGTAGCAAAGTGGGAGGAGTTATTTTGGGCATCTAGGGTTTCAAAAGCAGAGGTTGTCCTGCTGTCTAAACTCAGTTCAGTTTGTGCTTATATAGCAACACTCATTCAGACCAAAATTTTAATCTTCGCGCCGCTTTCCTTGCGTGAGTTTCATTGCTGGACTACTCGAGTGTTCACACAATGCAATGATCTGTGATTACTACAGGTGTATGAACAAAAAGTAATGTTTGTTGTGATTTAGTTTCAATAAACGGATCAAACTGATGCAGAAATAACTACAACATGATGCAGATTTGTTAAACGTATGAATTCATGCTTTCTCAGGTCTGTCAGCAACATGGCAGGACAACGACTTTTAAAACGTTGGTTTTCTGAATGGAGTTTTGATCAACAGCTGGTATCAAGTAACAAGACACATATTGTCTGAACTTACCAGGTAGTTCTACTTCCTCACTTACTTTCTTCCAAGCAATGTCCAGTTTTGTCAGGTTTTTAGATAAATATGGGTGCCCCAGAGCTCTGAACAACAGTGGAACCAAAAACACAGCAGCACGTTGTGTGAAGATAAATCGTTTTAATCCCCAGAGCGTCCTCTGCTACGCCTGACGCCGCCCCCCCCCTCGCTTCGCGTTTGGTCTGAAAGCACAGTTACACGGAGAGCATGTTACAATCTCTTAATGGTCGTTTGGAACAGGAGGACTGATTACACCAAGCAAAACCTGTACTGACACCCAAACTCGTCCTTTAATGTGAAACCCACTCTGCTGCTCTAGAAGCTCAAATCTTTCCTTTGGGTTAGCTGCTGCTGAACCTAACAACCCTGCCGTGGTGGCTGCTAACGCTAACTAGCCCACATCTTCTTCCAGGTGGTGTCTGAGTGTTTGAAGGGGGGGAAATGCTCAATATGCTCATGTATTCAAATAATGGATCCAAAGTTACTAATAAAGAGTGGAAACAAACTCTGAGTGGTGGAATTACCAGCTCACACCAGCAAATTCAACATAAGGTTCTTTTCCACAGCAGTGAAGTCTCCACTCTGCTGGTTTATACAGAAATACTGTTTACATGCTCTGTTTATCTCTGCTGAGATACTGTCAAAGATGCTCAACACTTCCTGCACTGTTCCAAATTAAAAGCCTACCAGCAGAGGGAGGAATTTTACGCCCTTGAGCCGCTGGAAAGCTTCCAATTTGAAACCTCGGACCAGGAAATTTTGTTTCACTGACAGTAGCTGAACAGTATCCCTGTTAGAAAAGAGAGCGGGCGGTGGAAGTGTACATCACACTGAATGTATCAGGACCAAAGGTAAGCCTGTAGGAAGTTATGAGTTTGCATCAACAGCAAGTTAAAACAGCAGCAGGCAGAATATTCTTCCAGAACAGGAGACATTGGGAACAAAGACCCATCTCTAACAGAAACCGGGGTCAAAGAAACGTCGGCTTCTTTCAGCTCTCCATGTCGATTTGAGATTTTATTTGAGAACTTCTTTAAGACGAGCAGACAGCTGAGTGGTCTCTGGGTACTGGACATGAACTGGACTTTGGAAAGTACAGATGCAATCTGGTGAAGTTTGTGAATGTTATTAAGAGAACGTTTAGTTTGTGGACAACAGCGGAGCTCTCCACAGAGGAGGAGTTACAGATGCATTCAGAGCTGGTTTGGGTCTGAACTTGAGATTTAGATATCATCAGCCTTTATAAACGTTTATGACTCAGTTAACAAGGTGATCTCTCTGAAATGTTTTATAAATCATCAGAGGCTTTGTCTTTGACGTTTTCTGGACTATAAGTGAGTAATGTATTGTAACATGAGAGGCAGACGCCCTCTCATCGCTGCTCTGCTGACCAACATGTCTTCTCTCATCAGTGTGCCACGCCCTTGAACTTTGTGGTGAGGTACAAACCTGACGAGCAGCCCCTGCTCGCCCCTCACCACGACGCCTCCACTTTCACTATTAACATAGCTCTGAACAGCAAAGGCGTTGACTACCAGGTAAATGAGGAGCAGGTGGTGGGAGCTACAGGACGTGACCCTGCAGCCATTTTCTCTCTCTCTGCTTCTCTGCTCCCTCTCTGGAAGTGACCCGGGCTGATGCTTGTCTGTCCTGAGCAGGAGCTGCGAGGGCGTACATGTGAACTTTTCTATGCGAATGCCTGCATGACTTCTCTCTGTCTGTGTGTTTGCAGGCTCACTTTGACTTGGCCTTTGTAGTTAGGTATAAGCCAGACGAGCAGCCGTTTCTGAGACCGCACCACGACGCCTCCACATTCACTATAAACATTGCACTCAATCACAGGGGCCTTGATTACCAGGTGAGTGTGTTTGGAGGTTGGTAGAAGCCTGACATTTCCAACACCGAACATAGAGTAATGCATGCAACTGTTTACAGTGGGGGAAAAAAGTATTTGACCCCTTGCTGATTTTGCAGGTTTGCCCACTTACAAAGAATGCAACAATCTATAATTTTAATCATATGTACATTCTAACAGTGAAAGACAGAATCCCAAAGATAATTCCAGAAAATCACATCATATGAATTTATAAAAATTGATAACCATCTGATGAGGAAAAACAAGTATTTGACCCCCTACCAAACAGCAAGTATTCTGGCTCCTACAAGCCAGTTAGTCTTTCTTTAAGACACAGCCCCAATCCCAACCAATTATCTACATCAAATACACCTGCCTCACCTCGTTACCTGTATAAAAGACACCTGTCAACACCCAAACAACCAGCATCCAACATCACCACCATGGGCAAGACCAAAGAGCTTTCTACGGACATCAGGGACAAGATTGTTGATCTGCACAAGGCTGGGATGGGCTACAAGAGAATCGGAAAGCAACTTGGAGAGAAAAGATCAACTGTCGGTGCAGTTATCAGGAAATGGAAGAAGCACCACACCACCGCCAACCTCCCTCGGTCTGGGCCTCCACACAAGATCTCGCCTCGTGGGGTGTCCCTGATCATGCGAACGGTGAGGAATCATCCCAAAACCACAAGGGGGGAACTGATGAATCAACTGAAGGCAGCTGGGACCACAGTTACAAAATAAACGGTTGGTAACACACTACGCCGTCATGGATTGAAATCCTGCAGCGCACGCAAGGTCCCCTGCTCAAGAAGAAACATGTACAGGCCCGCATGAAGTTCGCCATTCACCACCTGGACGACTCAGAAGAGGCCTGGAAGAAGGTGATGTGGTCAGATGAGACCAAAATAGAACTTTTTGGCCTCAACTCAACTCGTCGTGTTTGGAGGGCAAAGAACACCGAGTACAACCCAAAGAACACCATCCCCACCATCAATCATGGTGGTGGCAACATCATGCTTTGGGGGTGCTTTTCAGCCAAGGGGACGGGACAACTCCATCGTATTGAGGGGAGGATGGACGGGGCCATGTATCATGGAATTCTGGACCAACATCTCCTTCCCTCAGTGAGAGAGCTGAAGATGGGTCGAGGATGGGTGTTTCAGCACGACAATGACCCTAAGCACACCGCCAAAGCAACAAAAGAGTGGCTGAAGAAGAAGCACATCAAGGTTCTGGAGTGGCCTAGCCAGTCTCCAGAACTGAATCCAATTGAAAATCTTTGGAGGGAGCTTAAAATTCGAGTTGCCAGGCGACAACCTCGGAACCTGAATGATTTGGAGGCTGTCTGCAGGGAGGAGTGGGCCAACATCCCTGCCGAAATGTGCACAAACCTTGTCACCAACTATAAAAACTGTTTGACATCTGTGCTGGCCAATAATGGCTTTTCTACAAAATATTAACATGCTGTTTGTCCAGGGGGTCATATACTTGTTTTTCCTCATCAGATGGTTATCAATTTTTATAAATTCATATGATGTGATTTTCTGGAATTTTCTTTGGGATTCTGTCTTTCACTGTTAGAATGTACATATGATTAAAATTATAGATTGTTGCATTCTTTGTAAGTGGGCAAACCTGCAAAATCAGCAAGGGGTCAAATACTTTTTTCCCCCACTGTATATTAGAGATGGGGAAATCAACCTTAAATCAGACTTTACATTGTGCTGTTCAGATGATACCTGTTGGTAAAAACACTGGCAGCTGTTTCCATAAACTGGAAAGCGTCACATGAAACAGTTCCAGTTGTATTTGAGTAAGTAACGAGATGTTATGTGGGTCCTACTGAGAGTTTGTGCAGGTTTTAACATGTCTGACTCGGTGGCTCAGTGTCAGCGTCCTGTCATGTTCAGGAGAGACTGGCTCACTTTTACTCCGTAAAACTCAAAAAGAAAAAGAAAAGAAGCGATATAAACATAAACATTTTTAAGGTGGATTTTCCCCACCACACAGAGAACATACCACACATCTTTTATTTCATGGGTCAGTCATTTCCTGGAGAGAACAAAGAAACCATACAGACAAGGAAAAGACAAGAACATATTTATTCTCTATGCATTTATTATCACAAGCTTTATTGGCAGTTTTCCATGTGTTTCCATTATTTTACTGTGGACGTCTTTCCAGGAAACTTTACAGACTCAGTGAAAAAACATTGAATGTTTTGGACCACAGAGAGACGTCCAGCTGCAGACATTAGTGTCCACATGAAGAGCGTAGATAAACAACGCTGTGTTTTCATAAAGCACGGTGCTGAAGTCAGGGTCGGATCACATTCCCAGCATGTACATCTACATCCTGCTGTTTCCTCGTGTGTCCTCTCTGTGTTTGTGAGTCTGTCTTCTTTGCATGACACAGAAAGCTGGAGCCTTGTTTTCATGGTAGCATCCATGTTGTCTCCCTGCATCCTCCACAGACCAGACTAAACAATCACCTGTTAGTCCACAGTGTTAATGGTTTATGCTGAATATATATATAAGTATATCATCTCTATAATGTCTATATAATGTAGTATATATATAATAATAATATATATATATAATGTCTGTCACGTGTTCAGCTGTTGTGATTTTATGTGATCTTTAAAGGACAGTATATATCATATTTGATCACTGATAATATTCACTGATGACTATAAGCCATTAACCACAAATACACAAAATAAAGTCTCAAAATAATAGAATAACACTGCATGAATTAATAAAAGCAGATCAATTGCAGTGTAATATCTGTTTCCTCAGCATCAGCTGTCTTTTTAAAACTAATATTATTTTCATTCACTAATTTTTTGCTGTTGCTTCCACTTAAAGCTGCAATTTGTGGAAGTCAACTCGGGTTTTTCACAATAAAAGCCTACAAGGAAAGAGGCGGATTACGCCTACTGAGGTGCTTGAAGGTTTTAATGTGAAATGTCTGTGCAGGAAGTGAAAGCAGTTTAACGGTGAGTGGAAGTGATTAGTGAAAGAGGACGTGTTCTGGGCACAGAGCTGATTGTGACATTAGTGCTGTGGAAGTAAACTTTATACTGAAATGATCAAGACAGCAGGTGAACACGAGTTATCTTCTGCCATCTCTAATATAAGCCGGCTTCATATGAGCAAAAAACAGCCTTTAAACTTTAAAGATTAAACTTTTTATCGAGATAACATTTTTGGCAATACCGTCCAGCCCTATCTAGTTGTAAGATCCTTAATTTGGTCATGGTCATGTTTCAGTCCAGGTTATGCAGCAGTTTTATAAGTTCCTGCAGTGGAAAAGGAAGTTAACTTGCTTGTGAACCTCCTCTAACCTCAGCTTTATACACTGCTCAAAAAAATAAAGGGAACACTAAAATAACACATCCTAGATCTGAATGAATGAAATAATCTCATGAAATACTCCTTTCTTTACATAGTTGAATGTGCTGAAAACAAAATCACACAAAAATTATCAATGGAAATCAAATTTATCAACCCATGGAGGTCTGGATTTGGAGTCACACTCAAAATCAAAGTGGAAAACCACACTACAGGCCGATCCAACTTTGATGTAATGTACATCCTACAACGCCTGGGCGTGCTCCTGATGAGGTGGCAGATGGTCTCCTGAGGGATCTCCTCCCAGACCTGGAATAAAGCATCCGCCAACTCCTGGACAGTCTGTGGTGCAACATGGCGTTGGTGGATGGAGCGAGACATGATGTCCCAGATGTGCTCAATTGGATTCAGGTCTGGGGAACAGGCGGGCCGGTCCATAGCATCAATGCCTTCCTCTTGCAGGAACTGCTGACACACTCCAGCCACATGAGGTCTAGCATTGCCTTGCATTAGGAGGAACCCAGGGCCAACCGCACCAGCATATGGTCTCACAAGGGGTCTGAGGATCTCATCTCGGTACCTAATGGCAGTCAGGCTAGCTCTGGCGAGCACACGGAGGGCTGTGCGGCCCCCCAAAGAAATGCCACCCCACACCATTACTGACCCACCGCCGAACCGGTCATGCTGGAGGATGTTGCAGGCAGCAGAACGTTCTCCACGGCGTCTCCAGACTCTGTCACGTGTGTCACACGTGCTCAGTGTGAACCTGCTTTCATCTGTGAAGAGCACAGGGCGCCAGTGGCAAATTTACCAATCTTGGTGTTCTCTGGCAAATGCCAAACGTCCTGCACGGTGTTGGGCTGTAAGCACAACCCCCACCTGTGGACGTCGGGCCCTCGTACCACCCTCTTGGAGTCTGTTTCTGACCGTTTGAGCAGACACATGCACATTTGTGGCCTGCTGGAGGTCAGTTTGCAGGGCTCTGGCAGTGCTCCTCCTGCTCCTCCTTGCACAAAGGCGGAGGTAGCGGTCCTGCTGCTGGGTTCTTGCCCTCCTACGGCCTCCTCCACGTCTCCTGATGTACTGGCCTGTCTCCTGGTAGCGCCTCCATGCTCTGGACACTACGCTGACAGACACAGCAAACCTTCTTGCCACAGCTCGCATTGATGTGCCATCCTGGATGAGCTGCACTACCTGAACCACTTGTGTGGGTTGTAGACTCCGTCTCATGCTACCACTAGAGTGAAAGCACCGCCAGCATTCAAAAGTGACCAAAACATCAGCCAGGAAGCATAGGAACTGAGAAGTGGTCTGTGGTCACCACCTGCAGAACCACTCCACACCTGTTATCTATTCCATTTGCACAACAGCATGTGAAATTGATTGTCAATCAGTGTTGCTTCCTAAGTGGACAGTTTGATTTCACAGGAGTGTGATTGACTTGGAGTTACATTGTGATGTACAAGTGTTCCCTTTATTTTTTTGAGCAGTGTAAATGTGGGATGACAGGAAACATGGCTGAATCGAGCAGTCCTTCAGGAGTCCGATGGTAATGTGTGTTGTGTTTTCAGGGTGGTGGATGCAGGTTTCTTCGCTACGACTGCTCCATTCAGTCTCCTCGGAAAGGCTGGGCCCTCATGCACCCGGGCCGCCTCACCCACTACCACGAAGGCCTGCCGGTCACCAGTGGTGTCCGGTACATCGCCGTGTCCTTTGTGGATCCCTGAACTCCCAAAGACCGCATGCATCACCGACTTCTCCAGACCAACCAGGACACCCTGATCCTGCAGTGTCACAGCTGCTCGCTAGCTTTTCCTCTTTTCATCACTACATCTGTTCTCTTGTTCTTTTCATCCCCCTCTTTGCTTGTTTTAATGTCCAAAATGATTTTGTTTCTGTCTCACTGAAAGAATTACCTGCAGTGTGAAACATGAACACAGGTGCTCAGTGGAAGAACATGTGTTGGAGGAGAACTTGGTCCAAAGTAACACCTAACATGTTTAAAAGTGTTTGTGACCAGCAAACAGGCACCATAAGTTTCTCTAAGAAAATGGACGTGTTACTTTTGCAGGAAGCAAGGTCGGCCCAATACAATGTCGTGGCGAGCTGCGACAGCTGAGCGAAAGGAGACAGGGCGTCAAAGTCTCGTGTCCCATCAGGGGCAAGTTAAGTAAATTACTTTAGACCCAGTTCTCATTTAAATTCTGGAATAATGTTTTCCTCTTCCTGATGTGAATATGATGTCACCTGGATGTAGCAGTGTTCAGGCCGTGTACAAACGTCACCTCAGAGGTCACAGCTGTCTGATCACCAGCTGTAGGAGAAAAGGATGCCTGCCACCAGCTTCGGTGGTGCAGCTGCTGATCCATGTTTGGTTCTGGTCGGTCTGGAGTGTATGGTGTGGATCAATAATGCCTTGAGCTGGACTTCTCTCAGGAAACCACCAGTCCAGCATAAACTCTTCCTTCTTACATGTTGTATTTTTACTTCAGTTTCTGCTGTTCTCCAACTCTCTCTAAAGCCTGCTAACACTTATTTATTTTTTGTACATTTGACAGAAAGCAACACTCCCAGATTTATCTTGCATCTGCAATATAACTGCTATATATAAATTTTGTGAGATTCCATGTTGGAATCTGGGCTCACGGATTGGTCAGTTTGTAAAAGTGTAACATGCTCAGTTTCTGTCACTGCGCTTCAAACACAACCTGAATAAAACAGAACCCAACTGAAGAGCATCTGAACACTGGTTTAACGTCTTCATCTGACAATAATGGCCATAAAGATTAGTCTTACAAGCAACTGAACAACTGACATGTGATCACTACTGAACTCCTAATATTTGAATTGTATAAAACTGCCTATTTGACTTAGAAACTGCAGCATTCCTACAACTTTACTTACAATTCCTACAGAGTTTAGACCAATTCCATGTGGTGTGGGCCCAAGGCCGGCTGACTACTGGTCCAACGTATTTGAAATCCAAGTATAGAGAAAAACTAATTTGTGATCAACTCAATTGACGACAGACTGAACCTGGAGCCTGCAGATTAACCACAAATGGTTTCTCATCAGAACACAAGTTTGAGTTTTCCAAGTTTAAAAAGGTGCCTTTAAATAAACGTCCACCATTGTTAGGAAGATTTAAAAACTTTATTTTAAAAGTAAAAAGTTCTTAGTAAAAGTTATTATAAAGAGTAGGAGAAAGAATATACACCATGGGGTTAAAATCTAAAGCTCAACATGGAACAGACAGTCATTTCAAATACAAGACAATCTATTTACATCTTTACAGCCAGTTTCCTCTCCACCGGCTGAAGGAGGACACAGTTCATGTCAGGGTTGCTGCCGAAAAATAGTAAACGGCAGGTTCCTAGAGAGCGGGCTGAGCCATCTACAGTCTGAAGCGGTCGGAGAAGTTGGGTGAGTGGGGGATGGTGAGAGGAACTTCACTCTTTTTGACTGCAACAGGTTTGTAGTGCCTGATGGGCTGAGCCTTGTGAACCTGCAGGAGGAGAAGATGTCAGACTTTACCTCAGGCTGCAGACTCAACAAGCCTGCAGAGTCCACTCTGCCTCACCATATAGTTAGTCTGAAATCTTAAAGAGCAATTATACTCGCACCATAACTACTAACAGTCATCACACACTAATCTACGTGGCACCTGACAGATAAAACCAGCAGAAGCTGCTTATTTAAAGAGACTGTTTAAAGACCTGTCAGAAATAAACTGAGCAGATTGGAAGGTGAGGCCAATCGCAGGCTCTCACTCCGATTAAATGTTACACCGAGGGAGAGCTAGAGCAGCAGTTAGTCATCGAGGTATACCCTTATACCAGTTTATGAGTTCACGGCTCATTGTGATGTGAGAACTGTGGCTATGAATGGGACAGGAGGGCACTTTCTGGATCAGGAATGAAGCAGTTCGTGCAGCATTGAGCAGCAGTCAGTGGTTAAATATTCAAACTGACTAACTCAGTCATGAATCTCCTTTTCAAAATAAAGTTACCTGTTCCTGCCGCAGTCTGGCGATCTCCTCTCTCTCCTTCTGCACCTCCTCCCGTCTCTGCTGCTCCTCCATCATCGCCCTGAGAGCCTCCTTCTCGCTGGCCAGCTGCTCTAACTCCTGCCGCTCCCGGGCACGGCGCTCCGTCGACAGCTCGAAGGCCTCCACCACTGTAGAAGGAGGAATGCCTTCTGAGTGTGCAGTGGCAGACGGTGAAAACAGAATAGTGAGTGACAACGCTGAAGAACGCTTCAGCCTTCGAGCAGGAAGCTGAAGCACCTTCAGAGCTTTTACATATTCAACATGAAGCAGGGCTACATTACAATGTGTGAATAAGTGTCATTTCACCAGGCAACACAACAATGTAAAATCTTCAATGCTTTCACTCAGAACACTTCATACTGAAATAATGCTGATAGATAAACTAAAGTTTCCACAGACTGTCTCACACATCAGAGTTTCTCCCTCAAGCTGAAATCTCAGGAGGAAACATCAGTCTATAGCTCATTTTATGGAGTTCTAAGACTTAAACATGGCCCAAGGGATCATGTGACCTGCAGTTTGACATCTGGTGTTAGTTTACATTTCTTATTGTCCACGAATCCCATGTGCAGACAAAACAAAAAACTGGGGCCCAAAGATGAATCCCAATGTGACTGAGCTCGTTTTTAAAATCAATGACTTCTGTGTGACAAACACGTGCTGCTAAACTGCACCAACAGACACCGCGTGTGCATTACTGCCCATCAGGAGGATGGCAGGACATCAACGCAAATACACTGGATGAGTCAGAGATGAGCAAAGTTTAAAGAACTGCTAAAGATTTCGTGTCTGACATCCTGGTGCCAGAAATACACCACATGTGGATTCATCTGCTACAGAAAATAGTCCAACAAATGTTTCCTATTCCCTGTTTGATTATGGACTGCAGCGAGTAGCTGTTTAAAAGGCTCAGTCATTTCCTCAGAAGTAAAAAGTCATTCATGGGATTAAACAAAAACACCAGAGTTATTCAGCTACTCTGTGCCGTTCCTGGCGGCGTGGGATAAAATGCGCTGGAACCCCATTTAAGGGGTCAGTATTTAGCATGTTAACAGCATCAGTATCTCACAGGTGTCAGCACAGCAGGGGCACGTTCGTAGTCTTACCCACTGCAGCCCGGCTCTCCTTCTTGGGCTGGAAAGGCTCTTTATGAGTGACTGTGTTGGGCCTGGCTTTGAATTGCGCCGCTTCCTCCTGCTGTTTCTGCTCCTCCTTTACCTGCAAGGCATAGAGGTCACATTTGAGTCCAAGCTAGAGACTTTGTTGGGAACCGAAAGAGTCAGTGGCAGATCCCGGCGTACCATCTGCTCCCAGCGGCTGATCTTCACAGCTCCCCGTTCGTCCAGCTGCAGTCTGAACGGCTCGGGCTTTGTCGGCTCCAGCTTCTTCTTCTCTGGGAGGACCACGGTGTTGAAGTCCGGCAGTGGCTGGGCCCTGAACTGTGGTACCTGGAAAGAATGGAAAACACAAGAGGTCTAACAGTGGTTTTGTTGTGCTGTTTAGCTTCACAGGTTCTGGAAGTATGACCCCACCTCTTCATTTCTCTTCTCCTCCAGCTTCTTCTCTCTCAGCGCCCTCCTCTCTCGCTCCCTCTCTTCAAAGGAGAAAGGACAGACCTCCACGTGGTGGTTCTCCTGCAGCCGGGGCTGGAAGGGGAGGCCGAAATGAGGCACTGGGGGGGCCTTGATAGGCGAGGGACGTTTTACCTGAGCAGAAAAGACACCAAGTTATAGGTGGTGCACAAGGGGGAGGGTGGGGGTAGAGGGAAAAGGCTGAGCCACATGTCCTTACTTCCTCAAACTTGGGCTCCAAATGAATCCTCTTCTTGAGTAGGAAAGCTGGAGACTCTGGCACAGTTGGATGCACAACCTTCTTCTCTGGTACTCCCTTTTGACAGGAGGAAACCTTGTTTACTAGGGTCACATGAAACCACCTTCACCTTCCAGTCACTCAAACCAGTTTCAGTGCAAATTCTTGGATTAGATACCGAACTGTTGGCAGCAGATTTAAACTCACCACGACTCCTTCCAGGATCTTTTTGGGCAGAGGCTGGGATTTAAATGCATGTGGCTTCTCTTCTTCCTCCTGAGGCTTCTTGGTAGACTGCCTCTCCTGGAGCCTCTTCTCAATCTGCAGCTCAAAACCTTCAGGTACGGTGGGCTCCTTCACAGCCGGCTTCTTCAGGCCCTCTGCACTCTCCAGAATTCTCTTGTTCAGCTCCAGGGCCTTGAATTTAAACCTGTGATTTATTAAAAGAAAGGCAGTTAAAATCCCTGGTAATTCACCGTTTGATTCCTACAGGAAGGTGCTATGGACTGAGTTTTTGGATGGGTGTTTAAAGTCAGATACTTTATGCCTTTACAGGTAGCCACATTTCCAGGTGCACATCTGCTGCTTGACTGGTAGAAGGCAAGGAGGGACACAGTACAAGATGAGGGGGTACAGTAAAGCTCTTACTTGTTAAGCCTCTCCACCTCTTCAGCCTCCAGCTCAGAGCTGCTCTTCACGGTGGGCGGGCGGCTCCTCTGGCGGGTCATTAGCTCTGGGGTGTGAGGCTGTGTGAGCTTCATGTGCTCAGACTTTACTCGGGATGGCCCTGACAGATAGTAGCCATGTGATTCAGTCATACAAATAATCCCCACCAGGCAGAAACACATCTGAAGCTTCCTGTAAGATGACTGCACTGTCTCCTGCTCACCTCTTTCTTGACTCTTGCGGCTGCGCAGGTGGTATCGGTCAGGGGTTTGTTTCTGGTAGCGTTCGATCTGCTGAGCCATGGACACATAGGCAGGAGGCTCGTCCACCTTTCTCTTGCTGCTGGTTGACAAGTTGAAGGGTTTGGGCACTGTGGCACCTCTCACAGCCTTGGCCTGAACAGAAAGTGACAACTGTGAGCATTAGGTGCAGGCTTCATGTAGTCAATATGTACATTTGGACGTCCTCTCGCTCTCATACTTAAACTACAACTCAAAGCTTAAAAGCTGGACATTTCATCACCTTTACTTGCACAACAAACTGAACAGCAATGTTTAAATTCACTGGAGAAGTGGTTTGTACACGCAAGAGAATCTGAATCCAGCCCCTTCTGCAGCAACAGCCTTCACTCCGAGGGAACTTCCTGTAGTCTGGGTTTGACAGCTTGGCCTCAGACTTGAGTCTCACCTTCAGGGTGTAAGCACAAACTACTCACTGGGGAGGATGGTTTACGCAGCTGCGTGATGAAGTCCACCTCCTTGTGCACTGTGCTGGATGACATGGTGATCTTTGAGCGCGTGTTTGTGTTAAAGCAGAACTCTTTTGGTACGGTTGTGGACAGGACCGTCTTCTTTGGTGGTGGAACTGAAATAAAGAGTGACCCTTTCAGATCTTTTGAAACTGTAAGAGCTTGTTAGCCAGCACTTCATTTACGTTGCTACACATAAATGAAGGAAAATTTACTCACTGCCAGCCAGAGCAGCTTTGTAGCTCGCCTCGTTTTTCTTACGATGCAGAGCCACTTCCCTCTGGAGGGTCCTGATGCGCTCCATTTCCTGTTCTACAGAGCTATTTGGCCTATTGGACACAACCAGAAACAAGACCGCTTTAACCTGCTTTTCCAGCTCAGCCTAGTGCAAGTATCCTACCCAATTTAAAATCTCACTCTCCATTACTGTCAAAGACATTACCAGATATTGTTAGCAGCTTCAGGTTTTTAAAAAGACAATAATTCATACCCATCCCCCCCTCGTTCCAGGGGTACAAGGCTGAGGAGCACTGTTTGCACTGGTGATGGACTCACTGTGTGTTTGCAGCAACTGCTGCCCGGGTCTTGGCCATAGTCCGGGCCTCAGGTGGCCTCCTTTGAACACTACTGGATTTTCGTGCTGGTTGGGCAACAGGACTCCTAGAACAACATTTAATCAAAAAGGTCAACCACAACAGGGGCTTTTACAGAAAGCTTGTACATAAAGAGACCCTATCAAAGCAAAGACCATCTGCTGTGAAGGACAGGACAGTCAAGACACTTACTTCTTGTATTTCTTTGAGGGGGGTATGACTGCACCGCTGGCTGCCTCTTTACGTTTTGAAACCCTAAAATGAATAAATGGGGAAAGTGTATTAGCACTATGAAATTATCAAGTATAAGACACATCCCCAGAACACTTCATCCTGCATTTACCCATGATGCAACCATTTTTAGACAGTTTGTCACTGTAGTGTAAGCGTCAGAGGAACGTACCTGCGTGGCTGGGCAGGGAGTTGATTTACAGCAGTCCTTCGCCGGGCACCAGTCTGGGCGGGACTTCCATCTCCCCAGGATGTGACCAGATTAGAAGGTGGAGATGTGGCTGTGCTAGGACCTGGAATATTGATAGTCCACATGGGTTCACGTTATGCAAGTCATGAGGAACATTTGACACCATAAAGCTCACTAGGATACAGGAGAAATACGGTCAGCCCTACACATAGTCTATATTTACACTGAATCCATGTGGTGCCGGAAAAATCTGGAAAAGTATTTCCCAACTGGGAAAATTTAATGAACTCAGAAAGTCTGAGAAAACTTTGGTACATGAGTTGCTCACATACATGGCATTAAAAACGTTAATATAATGGTGCGAAATAACGTAACATTTTGCTAACTTGTGGTTTGTAATATGGTATTAAATTATAGCGGTTAGTTTGCTGTGCATCTAGAATAAATATGAAAGGAAATATTTTAATAGGATATATTTTTGCAGTATTGAGAACAAGCTATATTTTAGTAGTTTCATGTAATGTACTGGTGCAGTAACATTAGAAAATGAACCAGCAAAATAAAATCCTTAATCTCGCCCAAAAAAACCCCAAAAGCTTACACTCGCTTGAGGTGGTTTTTGCCTTTGTCGAAAAAGAGTTTGTGCTAAATGGGAGATTGAAACACTTGCCGAATAAGTTCTTATGTAGCGAAGTTCTAACTCACTTCTGATCAGCCGTTTCCGCTGTTTGTTTCTTGCCGAATAGTCCCATAACGTGCAGAGACATGGCTGGTAACAGTTTGCCCAGTTGAAACACATTCCTGAAGACCTCTATTTTTATAAGATCAATGGTCCTCAGGTTCATGCAGCTGGTTTTGTTTCTGGTTTGGAACCCTTACGTCTTGTATATTACAGCCACGCGTAATGTCAACTACCGATGTAACTACGCTTGCTGTAGCCTGGTTTATTCGCTCCAAACCAGCTGATGGAAACGCACATATTTAGCATTTGGTCCCGAGGATTTTTAAGTATCTTAACAGAAAATATTGACGAGTGTATCCTTAGGAATCATCTATAACGCAAAGAAACTAACCAGAGTCCACGTCCGTCTTGAGCAGAGGGGTAACGATGGCCCGTGGCAGGTTGGGCACATCGCTTCTCCTAAAGGACCGGTCACGTCTCAAAGGTGTCTTAAGGTGACCTTCTGTGCCCATGGCCTGTTGTTCTGCAGGTGAGAGACAAGATAAGCAGATTGACTCATTTTACATATTCTTTGATGGTAGGTTAATTGTCCTGAAGAACATGTCAAGAGCACCACTGTAGTATAGTTCTCATTATCAGTTTCAATGTTCTTAGCATTTAAGCCTGCAGCAATGCCTCTGGTGTTTTTCTCTGTAAAGTAGTTATGAGACAGTGAAAAGGTGGAACACAGACAAACTGCTGCATACTTTATGCAGCATTCAGACCTCTCGTTTTCTCCAAGTATTGTACGTTTTTTATATAAATAAAGAGTCGTAGTCCGACAGAGCTAACGACGCCAACACCACTGGAACCGGGTGTGCACGGAAGTTAGCTGCTGAGAAGCTCCAGTGCAGATAAATCAATATTGAAACCACAAAAACATAACAAGCTAATTTAATAAAAGCAGTTAACTCTGAGCTCCTCCGGCGAGTAAACGGCGTAGTTGTCAGAATCCAGACCGACTACGGGTGTTTATTTGTCCAATAGTTGCAGCGCTGCTCCCTGCTCCTCTCCCAAGTTTAGCAGCTCTCAGCCGCCAGCAGATTTTCAATCCCCTGCTCTGACCGCCCTCTCCACACAACGCTCTGAAGCCGTTGGTGACTTACTGACAATCTCATCACTCATAGGCTATCGCAACTCAGCATCACGCGAATTCCTTTGGGTTGCCTTCACGTTGCTGGTGTTATGCCGAGTTTTGCCTGAGTGCCGAGAATGGCATGCACCTCCAAATACTGCTTTTAAACGCTAATATTCTTTGTGGGGTCCAGTCAATGGTGTTAAGTGATTCGAAGTATATATTTTATTAACATTTAGAGTCTTTAATGTTTTAATACACTTAGAAGTACCATTACTTGACATTCACTAAATATGTCGTGATAACGCCATTTGATCAATGAGCACAGCAAAGTGTCTGAAAAGGACCTCAAGAGGTGGATGCATAATTCGGCATTTCAAGTTTTGTAGGCTACCTGCCGAGATTTGCATCCACCCCTTTTCTCAGCATCAATGACCGTATCACCCACGAGGTGCGTGCAATTCTCTGCAGGCAGAATTCAGCACAACACCGGCCCCGCCCCTTTTTCGCGACTCTACGTGTCTTTGCATTGAGTTTGTAAAGTCACAGCCCCAAACGCTCGCTTCGCTTTTGGTCTGAAAGCACTGAACGTCTGTCCAATTCGCCTGTTACTGTAGGAGGAGTTAGGGACCGTCTGAAAAGGTCAATACGATCCATTTCAAATCATCAATAACTGTTTTGCTTTTTATATAAAAATCTCAAACCACTGCTAGCACAGATAGTAACCACCCTTAAACATTTCACACTTGAGAGTTTGTAAAGAAAAAAGTTAAAGAAATTAAGTAATTCATTAAATAATGAAATATACACAGTGCAAGGTTGTAATTTCAACAGCTTGCTGATTTCTGAATATATTGACAAACCACCTCTCATCCTTCCTGGACATCCTTTCACAGCTGTTAGTTCTTTGTAATGTTCAGATGTTTTCAATTTAAAAAAAAACAAAAAAAAACGTGTAAGTACATTGGATTTATTGTCATACTGACAGCGTTTCAGGCCGCTCACTTCCCTGTATGTTCACTTTTGTTCGTGCAAACATCACCTTAGTTTCACAAAGTGCACAGAAAGGATAAAACACTAACTCATCAGACGGCAGCAGGACAGCGTCTTTTACGTTTGATGGTAAATCAAGTTAAGCTAAAGAAAGACTCCGTCCTCAACACTTCCCCTTGAACTAAACACCAGTCAGGAGTAAATATTACTTACCGAACCACTCGTCCTGGTTTTCTGCGTGTTGCAGCTCTTTCAGGTCGACCACCTGCGACGGGGCATCGAACTCGTACAAACCAGAAGCGTCTCCGTTGCTTTCGGCCATTTTTCTCAGGTCAACAACTCACATGAACTAACGTTAGACACCAATCAACACAGTGAGCTTCAGTTATCTAAAGTGTTAACAGCTGTGGTAATTTAACGTCTGAGTAAAGTTAAACTCGAGATTTAGTTAACGTTAATCCCTTTCCAGCGAACATTAACCTTAGCTGTTAACTCAGACATCTGATATTAGCTATAGTAACTTAAGTTGTAGACATAACGTTACCGAACGGTGAAAGCCTCACAAGAGATGTTTTCGATAAAGTGTAAAGTGCTCGTGTAATGTAAATATATGTTAGTGAATGAGAGTTTTATTATCTTTATACGAGCTGTTTTTAGCTTAATTTAAGTTAACGTTAGCGTTTCCGGTGGAAAACAACAGACTACCTTACGTTATAACTTCATACGTTAGTTAGCATAAATCCGTTAACTTACTTCCCGTTAACTCGTATTAAATGCTGCTAAATCTACTTGTAACTCCGGTAAACCTATACTACAATAACGGATGTAAGAACAAATAAGGTTTGCGGAGCAGCTTACCGTCTGTTCCCACAACGACACTGGTTAAACTGCAAGCGCCGCGCGACTCGCAACGTTAGCGTTTAAATTTCCTCCTCCCTTTTGAACCAGCCAATGGCTGAGGACATGCTCATCTGCTCGGCTTCTATTGGCTCATACAAGTCAACTTCCTGTCAGGCTGGAAGCAGAGCCCTGTAAAGAGAAACCTACAACAAACCTACACATCTGTAAAGATTCGTCCAGGTCATGGTTAGCCAAGAAAAGTTGAATCGGGAGCAACTGGACTTGGTTGTAGATGACGTTTCAGAAGAAGTCCAGTTGCCCTCAATTTAACCTTTCTTGTAAACGGCTACAGGTTTGATTGAGAATGTTATGCATTATTCAGTTTTGGAACTTCATCAACAGCTTGTGCTGCTGATGTTGGCATCAGTTACTAGATAGTTTGTCAGTTAGTGAATGTTTTTATTTTTTCAAACAGGTTCTCACACACAGGAACTTTGATGATGATGTGATATGAATTTGTACAAAGTAATTATGTAATTAGAGTAAACATATCCAGTAAGAATTGAGTGTTCACCAATATGGTGCATTCAGCCACTATGATGTATGCATGATTTCTTATAAATGGTATATTATAACAGGCATTTACAATCGTGCTGTTTTCTATCTCATCATGGTCCACTCAGTGCTCTTTAACATCACTGCTCCTCCACCACGCAGAGTCTACTGCTCTAATATAATTAATGTTTACTATGAAGATTGTTTTTATAATATGTTAGTATACTACTTTTAGTATTAGGGGTAAATCCCCCCCCCCCCCCCCAAAAAAAACAAAAACATTTTGAAATCTTTTATTCATACATGCCCCACTAATATATTTAAATCCCCCCCCCCCAAAAAAAAAAAAATAAATGAATAGGCTACCCCTGTTTACATTGCATGCTGCTAACTTTATCCATTGCCAGTATCATAATTTGTTGGTTAATTTGTTAACCATTAATGTCCCTAAATCTTCTAATTTAGTCTGGGAAACTTTTTACACGTCTTACCTTTCAAAGGTTTATCCCAGATAGCATTTTCTATTGCAGCTCCGCTGCACTGCTAGCATTTGATGCTACTATTCAGACGCTCCATGAACGGAGATATATAAATTGGCCAAAACACATTAGCATTGTTGGCATACAGCCACACCTGGCCCCACTGTCAGTTTTAATTCTGGATAAAAAATGCACTAATCTAATCTAATCTAATTTTATTAGAAATTGTTTCACTGAAAACATTTTAATCTGAAAGTCAAAACAAAAATGGCATCCTACAAAATTAGATAAAAATTCAATAACTAAACTAAGAACAACATATCTAACACTTCCTATACCCCCAAAATTAAAGAAACACACTTAAAGTAATGAACATTTACTCCTCTAAAAATTAGTTACACTTCACTTTGGTATTGATGATACTGCATGTACATTTTGTGAAAATAATGTTGAAACTACAAACCATGTATTTCTCATGTAATGTGGTACTGATATTTTGGTGTGATTTACACAAATGGGTTAAGCAAAAGATGTCTTCATTCCCACCTCTTTCTCCAAAGACAACAAAACAATTGGTTTGTTAATGCAAAGCAAAGATGATGAACTCTGTGTGTAGAACTGTCTAATCATCACCCAAATGTGTTGTTTTTAAAATTAATTGAAGCTGTATATGAAATCCTTGCAAACTCTAAAAGGACCTAAAGAACAAAAATGATATGATATCCTAAAACCCTTCCCTTCGAAGACTGAATTTTCCTCTTTTATTATAATTTCTAACAACTTATATTTATATATTTCAATTTAATGTAATTTATTTTAAGTCATTATTATTCTTGTTACCAAAACTAAATTTCCATTATTATGAGCTTATAAATATGTATATATATGGATTATTTGCTGCAATGTTTTGTTTGTAAAATTTTACTATTTAAAAGAAAATTGGGGGGAAAATCGCTAAAATAGGCACCTTGTTTGTTGATCATCTGTTTTAAGACTGTGCACAAGTATTAAAAAACAAATACTACATTTTTTGTGTCTTTTTTTAGGGATCCCAGCAGCGAAGCTGTTGAAGCCCTATTGTTTTTGATCTCATCATTCTTCTTTCTTTCCTCTTTTTCTCTGCTAAAAGTGTTTGGGCAGCAAAAACTACTGCACAAAAACTCACCAAAATTGACAAGTGGGTTGCAGATTCCACCCACTACTCAGGCAAAAAAAATGGCACTCAAAGACCTCAAGGTGGCGCTATAACAACCAACTTTATGTTTTTGCAATTATCTTGAAAACAGCTTGGTATAGAGTCAAAGTTCTTTAATTATTTTAATCTCTGGATTCATCTGCATCTTTGCTCCAATGGTCTTCTGCTCTAATTATCACTTTTCTCTATAACCTATTTTTGCAAACTCGTCTCAGACGGTTTCGCTAATTCACCTGACACTTTGGCAGGATCATCTACGGACATTACTGATCAAAAGCTATCAAAAGATTTGTGATACGTCAATTTTTCTTTACCCCATAAATTTTTTACTTTACGTCACTTACGTCTTTCTGTGCAATTTTACATAAATGCCCTAAATCAAAATTGGCTTAAGCTATTATCACCAAACTTGACGCGTCTGTTCAGATGCTCAGTTCGAGCTTTGCTGAGCAATCCTGGGATATTCTTCCACTAGGAGGCACTACAATTGCAAAAAGTTTATACCTTGTAATTTGCTGCATGGATTCATACAAAATTCGGTTTGGTTTTACGATTAGGGTCACTACTCAGTTGATGGATCAAATTTGGCAATGATTGCTCGATGTTGGCTTATTACAACAAATGTAAATTTCTAGACATTTGTCATTCCAAAGTAAATATGTAATTTTCTAATGTTAAACTCAGATAAAACTGAAGTTTTTGTTCTGGGGCCTAAGCACCTCTGTGACGCATTATCTAAAGATATAGTTTCCCGTGATGGCATCGCCCTGGCCTCCAGCACCACTGTGAGGAATCTTGGAGTTATCTTTGATCAGGGCATGTCGTTTAAGTCTCACATTAAGCAAATTTCAAGGACCGCCTTTTTTCACCTACGTAATATTGCGAAAATCAGGAACATCCTGTCTAAAAATGATGCAGAAAAATTAGTCCATGCATTTGTTACTTCTAGGCTGGATTACGGCAATTCCTTATTATCAGGCTGCTCGAAAAAGTCCATTAAGGCTTCAGCTGATCCAGAATGCTGCAGCACGTGTTCTGACAGGAACCAGGAAAAGAGATCACATTTCTCCTGTTTTAGCTTCTTTGCATTGGCTTCCAGTAAAATCCAGAATAGAATTTAAAATCATTCTTCTTACCTACAAAGCTCTTAATGGTCAGGCACCATCTTATCTTAAAGAGCTCATAGTACCTTACTACCCCACCAGAGCACTGCGCTCCCAGAATGCAGGGTTACTTGTGGTTCCTAGAGTCTCCAAAAGTAGACTAGGAGCCAGAGCGTTCAGCTATCAAGCTCCTCTCCTGTGGAACCAGGTTCCAGTTTGGGTTCAGGAGGCAGACACCATCTCCACATTTAAGAGTAGGCTTAAGACTTTCCTCTTTGATAAAGCTTATAGTTAGGGCTGGCTCAGGTAGTCCTGAACCATCCCTTAGTTATGCTGCTATAGGCCTAGACTGCCGGGGGATTTCCCATGATGCACTGAGCTCCTCTCTCCTCTACTTTCTCTCCCTCTGTATGCAACCTCATCCCATTATTGCATGTTACTAACGCAACTTCTCCCCTTTCCGGTAGTCTTGTGCTTTCTCGTCCCTCTCCCTCTCTCCTCCTATCACTTCCTGCAGGTGTTTCTGGCTCTGGAGCTGTGGAGTCTGGATCTGTGGTTGCGGGTCACCTGCTGCCCCGGTGTTCCTGCTCGACAAGACTTATTATAATCATTAACATTACGATTATTATCATTAACACTACTATAAATACCATTTTTCATTTAGTCTATAGCAACATCACCTTTACTGTGTGTACCTCTGTGTGTGTATATTGTGTTGGCTTCCTCCCTCCCCTCTCTCTCTCCTTCCATCCCTCTCTTTTTCTCTCTGTTCCTCTCCTCCCCTCTCTCTCTCGCTCTTGCTCTCTCTTTCTCTCTCTCTCTCTCTCTCTCACCCCAACCGGTCGAGGCAGATGGCCGTCCACCCTGAGCCATGGTTCTGCTCGAGGTTTCTGCCTCTTAAAAGGAAGTTTTTCCTTGCCTCTGTCTCCTAGTGCTGCTCTTGGTGGGAACTGTTGGGCTTCTGTAAATATCATCACAGAGTACGGTCTAGACCTGCTCTTTTATGAAAAGCACTCTGAGATAACTGTTGTTGTGATTTGGCGCTGTATAAATAAAATTGAAAATTGAATTGAGTATTTTTAAGAATATGCTAATTAAATTAACATTTATATCTTCACAAGTATTTCATCAAAAAAAAAATCAACACAGACATTCTCTAGATGGCTGATATCAAGTGTCGCAAAGGTTTGGTCAAATGGTGAGTCTGAAGTGAACTTCAGTAACTTGCTATAACTTATACAGTATGCACAACATTTTCTTTTTGCTCAGTTTTGGATCAAATGCCGCCAAAATAATTGACAACACACCCAAAACCAACAGAATGATGTGTGATTTTTTTCAGGATTTTCTCACCAACATCTTGGATGTTGTAGGCATTTTAAATTTAAACTGACAAAACTATCCAGATCTGGCACATGTGATGTCAGAAGCTATACGGAAGTAACCTCTCACCAATAGCTCTGTCAGTAAGTCACCTACTGGAGATCTGAAGTGCCAGGGTTCAAATCACCAGGTGACCAAGTCAGATCATACTGAGTCTAGGTTCTCTATTTTATTTGGATCCCTAGCAAATTGTTCTCATTTTTCTCTGCTTAAAAGTGTTTGTGCGAATTAAACTTTAAACCTTGGAATCATAAAATGGTGCTGGTGGGTTGAACATTTCACCCAGTAGTCAGGTACATATGATGACACTCTCTGATCTCAAGGCAATGCTGTAAAAGTTTCCCCAATTATCTCAAAGTCCAAATTCTTTCATCACTTTAATCTCTCAAGTCATCTGTATCTGTTCTTCTCCTCTGAAGAAATGTTGCATTTTTTGCAACTTGTTTGGATCCTGATCAATGCCGCTCGCAGCTATATTTTTTATTGTCTTTACATGCATATTATTTAAAATCTGTATACCATTGTTAATTTTGACAATTTTAACTAACTTGCTCTCAAGGGTTTTGGTTTTCTAAATAGTATGTTTATTATACAAGTGCCTATTTTTATTCCACCTTTGTGTATCTACATTATCATGGCAAAACACAATGAACAAAGTTTAAAAACAAATACTGCAAACAGTATGGTAAAATAAATGTGTTTTATTCTACCGCTAAAGTTAATCACTGCGATATTTAGTTTTACTCCACCAGTTAGTCTGTGCTTAATTTATCCTTAATTTAACACCAGTTAAAATATATTTACTGCTCTACAGTACTTTACAAGACAGGTGGCTGTGAGCTAAATGCTAACATGCTGATGTTAAGCAGGTGTCATGTTTACCATGTTCAACTATTAAATTAATTGCCAATTTGGATAATCGATTAATTGGTCATTAATTGGTTAAAATAAAATTCCAGCTTCTTAAACGTGAACATGAAGTGACTTTAGGTCTTCATGAACAACAAACTATATTGGGGAGGGAAGGAGCAGAATACATGTTGTGGATTTATGACAAAAGTAAAAGTAAATCATCACACACACACACACACACACACACACACTACAACTCATTATCGATTAATAATTTTGAGTTTGAGTTTTTAAGAAAGTAAGCTAAAATTCTCTGATTTCAGCTTCTTAAATGTGAATATTTTATTTTCCCCTCTGTGACGTTTAACTGAATATCTTTTTGTGGACAAAACAAGATGTTTGAGGACGCCATCTTGTACTCTGGGAAACTCTGATCAACATTTTGCACCATTTTCAGATGTTTTACAGACCAAACTAATTGATTAATCACAATAATAATTGGCAATGAAAATAATCTTTAGTTGCAGCCCTAGTGAGAATGTGATCGGTTTATCAGGTATTTGGTCATAAACCTAAGAGTTAAGTTATATACACAAGTTGACCTGCTGGTGGCGCTAGAAGAAAGGTCAGGGGATTACTAAAGTCAGCAAGATTCATCCTCTGGGGCCATGAATGTCAGAACAAATGTCATTGCAATCTATCCAATAGTGAGATACTTCAGTCTGACCAAAGTATAAACCAGAGTACTGGACCGTCTGACGTTCCTGGAGCAGTTATGCCAGCAGGTCTAAGACAGTGAAATAAAAGGTGTATTTTGAAGGGAAGTAAATTGATCAGATCCAATATTACAAAGGGGAAGTGAAATTACGCCCATGTACGTTGCATTGTTTGCCCTGAACGCAGCCTCCCAGGCAGCTTCCTCCCAGGCCGCTTCCTCCCAGTCTCCACAGTCTTCAGTACAGCATCCTTAAACCTCTATCAGTTAAGATTACAGGTGTGTTTGCAGCCCCTGGTTGCTCATTATTCATTAGTCGAGTTTAAAAACTGTTAAAAGGCCAAGTCGTAATTTCTTGGTGTGAGTCCAAAATGACTCCCTGTTCTAATTTATTTCCCTTCATTTCATTTGAGTGTCTGACTATTGAGTGTGACATTTCTGCACAATATAACTACCTCAGAAACAGTGGAATGAAAGTGTCCATAAAGCAATGCTTTGCCATTCTTAGATATGTAAATTATAATAGTGCAACATTACACCAGAGATGTTAGAGATGGTTCGAAATAATGACTCCCGAATCTTAAATCACTGATCACTTCAAGGTACAGCGTGTACATTACAGTATGTATTATTAGAAGATAAGTTAACAAGACACTGCAGAAACCTTAATATTCATTGCTGTTTGTGGGTCATGATATCATTTACACACACTAAGGTAGAAAAATAAATAATAAACATTCACCATCAACCCTGCAGGTATCAAGGAATGTGCCAGAGGTCACTGTTAATTAACACTTTGTCAGTCACTTGAGCGTCTGATAAACATGTCGAATGCATTTCCTCTCGCGTGAAGAAACATTTAATGATTTATAAGACAATCACATATTGTCTTTCTCAATGAGAAGATTGATATCGACTATACACTGTATTGCCAAAAGTTTAGGGTCGCTTGCCTGTACATGCACATGAAGGTTAATGACATCCCATTCGTAATCTGTAGAGTTTAATATGGAATCAGCCCACCCTCTGCAGCTACAACAGCTTCAACTCTTCTGGGAAGGCTGTCCACAAGGTTTAGGAGTGTGTTTATGGGAATTCTTGACCATTCCTCTAGAAGTGCATTTGTGAGGTCAGGCACAGATGTTGGAGGAAGGCCTGGTCTAATTCATCCCAAAGGTGTTCTATCGGGTTGAGGTCAGGATTCCACACCAAACTCGCTCATCCCTATCTTTATGGACCTTGCTTTGTGCACTGGTGCGCAGTCATGTTGGAACAGGAAGGGGCCATCCCCAAACTGTTTCCACAAAGTTGGGAGCATGAAATTGCCCAAAATGTCTTGGTATGCTGAAGCATTAACAGTTCCTTTCACTGGAACTAAGAGGCCAAGCACAACCTCTGAAAAACAATCCCACACCACAATCCCCCCTCCACTAAACGTTGTACTTGGCATAATGCAGTCAGGGAAGTACCGTTCTACTGGCAATTCTTCACTCCAGAGAACACGTCTCCACTGCTCTAGTGTCCAGGGGCGGCGTGCTTTCCACCACTGCATCTGACGCTTTGCATTACACATGGTGATGTAAGGCTTGGATGCAGCTGCTTGGCCATTTTTTTATGTGCCCTACCACTTTGTGGCTGAGTTTCTGTTGTTCCCAATTGCTTCCACTTTATATACCACTAACTGTTATAATACCACTAACAGTTGGAATATTTAGTAGTGAGGAAATTTCACGAACAGACTTATTGCACAGATGGCAACCTATCACGGTACCATGCTTGAATTCACTGAGCTCCTGAGAGCGACCCATTCTTTCACAAATGTTTGTAGAAGCAGTCAGCATGCCTAAGTTCTTGATTTTATACACCTGTGGCCATGGAAATTATTGGAACACCTAAATTCAATGATTTGGAGGGGTGTCCTAATACTTTTGGCAAAATAGTGTATGTGTGTTAAAAGCAGCACAGTCAGGGAGCAAATGTTTTTGGTCTTTGCACAGGCCCGATAGCACCAAACATGGCCTCCTCCCTGTGAGGACGAGGCTCTGGAGCAGCGTCCTCCATGATAAAATAACCCCGATGGCTTTCTGAGGGTTTCTCAGCTTGGACTTGGAGATTACAGATGTTTTGGCAGAAAGCCTGTGTTACAAACATCTGTCATGGAGTTTCTGAAGACGTGTTTGAACACAGGCAGAGAGGCTCTAATGAAGAGATGCTGGTGCATCATGGGAGGTGTAGGATCCAGTTTATTTAAGCATGACTTTAAAAGTTGAATATCTCAGCCTCTGCTGCTTCTAGTTTGAGCGTTGTTTTTAAAATCTGTCTCTTGCAAGTCTTCAAACTTTATGGAAATGTAATACCAAATTGTAGTATTTAAATGTGGTATGTAATAGGGTGACGCTAAAGTAAACCCCTTTACACTTCACATCTCTTCACAACCATTAGGCCTGCATTAGCGCTGGGCGATATATGGCCAAAAATGTTATCATGATAACAAATGTCATATCATTATTTCTTTCAGGTTTAAAGGCTGATTTTTGCTCCTGAGTGAAAGTTGAAGAAACCAGATGGTTAATATGGTTTTAAACTTTTTTTTATGGTCAGAACACTTGATGCCAACCAGTGGATCACTTCACAAAACTGAGACATAACATTCAGAACTATTATGATACAAACAAATATGCACGAGTAAAATTAATCAAAATCTTTTTCAGTCCCTTTTCCTCAACAAAAATAAATATCTTAATAGAGAAATTAAGTGCTGATTTGTTTGTGATTCAAATTAATTAAATCAAACATTTATTAATATTTTGTTATTGAGGAACATTGTAGCCTAATTTTCATTATTGTTTTATTGCTGAGCCCTAGCTTATATATATATTATTTCTTTCTTATTCTACAATTGGTTTGAAATTAACGGAGCATATTGCAGTTCTTTGACTATAATGACTATAATGAATATGTACCTGCTGTTAGAGAGCACCACTTAATATACTTAAAATCTTTAATAATCTTAATCTTTTATAAATCACATTTATTTGAATTTTAAGTGTATTCTTTAGGAACAGAGTCAGCAACACACATGCCTTTAATATAGTATGTTCACCGAGAATATAAAATAAGGAAGAAGACGTAAAGGTATTTAACCCATAGATGCCATTCGTGCTATTAGCTCTTACTAGTATCTATTGTTGTTCCGCAAATGAAAGTCGCTTTGGATTAAGGCGTCTGCCAGATGAGTAAATGTAAAGGGTTGTTTTCTAACAGGAACAAGGACACCTCCCTGTGAGGCTGCACCCAGGGCCAACAGCGCTCACGTCTTCTGTCTGGTAGAACAGGCGATATGTACGATATCGGTTGGCTAACAGACCCGTAACTCAGGATTTCGCCGTGTCCCATTGGCTGAAAGTATATCGTGTAGGCGGGCGCAAGCGTCGTGGTTTTGTCGGAGGCGGGGCTGTTAGGTCCGACAGGAAAACTAAAGAAAGGCGAGTATCTTTGATAAAACGGTAAAGTTACGTTTAAATAATAACTCAGAATATATCTCTGTTTATTTGCTTCGTGTGTCGGCGTAGCTGCTAGAATCAAACGATGAATTTCGGTCTCAAAATGTTAAATGTTCCGGCTTGACAAGAGGCCGAAAAACTAAGCAAAGTTAGCAAGCTAACAGTTAGCCTCCTTAGATGAAATGGAAACTGCTGCTAGCTGGAAGTTAGCTGCTACTCCGAATAAAAGAGTATTAATATAAACTGAGGGAACATTAGGACGGCAGGTTATCTGTAAGGTGAAGGGATTCAGCAGAGGTTCGGTTGACAGATACAACAACCGTTTACATCAGGGGTAAACAGCAGGGAGGAAGTGAAGTTATAATGCAACGTAAACTTACCAAATGCTAAAAATGTTAGCTAAGGAGCTCAAACGCCCCGGTACTGTTCTTTATCACTAAAACCACCGTTAACACAGTTTATACAGCTCACAAAGGTGGTGTTTCTATAACAGGTAATCTGAATGTGAATTAGTAGCAGGTCCTCCCACTAAACATTTATATTTGGATTTTATTTAGGTACAAAATTGAAGCTTCAGGTGAGATTATTAGTTTTTATCAGCGTTTTAAGATACAAAGGATATTTTTATCCAAGATATCACGTTTATTTACATTTATAAGGAATAACGTGTGTGCTAGTTATCACGTTATACTGTGATTTATTGTCATGTGTTTTGTTTATTAGATTTAGTGTAAGCAGCAGTCTAACCTGGACAGGGGAAAGCCTCTCCCTGTCTTTGCTGTTTTTGTGTTGTTTATAGTGAGACCTGCTCTGGGGAAGGTTTGGACATGTTTGTTATGTGGATGTTTTTTGTGCCACAATGCAATATGCAATATTGTTATTATTATTTGTTAAAGGCCAAATGTGTGTCTAAATATCATTTCAAATTAAATATATCCGTGCTGCAGAGACGTCCTGGCCTTTACATCATATTCTACAGACTTAAGACAACAAATTTGTTAGGTACAGAACCCGTTTGGCAATTGCAATATCAGTCAAAATAATCGCAATTAGATATTTATTTGAAATCGATCAGCTTTTGGTCTACAGTGAAATAATTTGACAAATATCTTATGGATGGCCATGAAGCGTGCTCACACCCTCACTTTTTCTAAGAGGGTGAATGAATTTGGTGACTTCCTCTAGTGACACAAGTAGGTCACGTTTACCTCTTGTGTAAAGTGCAACATGCACCAGCTGGGTAGTTGGAGGTCATCAGAAACACTATTGATGGCGAAAGCATCATATACGTGAGACAGAAGAAGTAGTGGAGGTACAGTCGCCCGGGCTTTACTTTGAGTTTCACGCTGTGTTCAAACCAACAACCATACTGCGTGGAATATCGCAGCCCCGTCACTCGTGTCAGCTGGGACCTCCAAGAAGTCCAGGAGGTGGTTTAAGCTGGCTCAAATTTGCCGTCAGTCAGCAAACCATTGGTTCATGTACATGTAAGCGAACATGCCTGGTAGACTATTAAATTAATCGCAAGCCATTTTGATAATCAATTAATCGGTTTGAGTCAGAGAAATTCTCTGATTGAAGCTTCTTAAATGTGAATATGTTCTATTTTTTCCTCTTTTATGACATTAAACTGAACATCTTTGGGATGTGGACAAAACGAGATGTTTCAGGACGTCATTAGGAAACACTGATTAACATGTTTTTCTGACATTTTACAGACCAAACAACTAATTGATTAATCAAAAAAATAATCAACAGATTAGTTGACTATGAAAATAATAGGTAGTTGCAGCCCTAGTTGGTAGATTACTGCTGTAACATGAACAGTGTAATATGTCTGATAAACCTACAAACACATGGATCCATAACTCAGACTGGCGTTCCTGGATCCTGTCTCATCACCTTGCTGGTCATGTTAGCGACACGGCCTGACCAGCGCAGCCCCGTATGCTGTGTTCCCGATGCAGGGCAGTGGATGGTCTGAAAACCTGGTTAGACCACCTGAGAAGACAGGATGTTAGCAGCAGTGCTGCTGTTACCAAAGAGCAGAGCTGGGAACTTGTACTTTACATTAATTGGTTGCCCAACTTTTCTAAAAATAAACTGTGACGAAACATTGCAGCCGTACTAAGCAAGATTTTAGGAGCATCATGTGATTAGTGAGCATGTGTTCACAGTGCCGTTGGTTCGCTGCAAAATATGTCTTCACTGAACGCACCCCAGCACTTCCTGTTGAGCCTGTTCAGACTTTGTGGGTCAATAGTTTGTTTCTCATGATGAAAACTGTCCTAAAAAAATTTAAATGTTTGAACCTGCTGCAAACATCCCTGATCCTTACTCTGTTGTCTTTCTTTCAGATGGCTGCAATCAGAAAGAAACTGGTGATAGTTGGTGATGGAGCCTGTGGAAAGACCTGCCTCCTCATAGTATTCAGCAAGGATCAGTTCCCCGAGGTTTATGTGCCCACAGTGTTTGAAAACTATGTGGCAGACATCGAGGTGGATGGTAAACAGGTAAGCTGTTTGTTACAGTGAGAAATATCAATCTGAGGCTCTGAACCATAGAGTTTCAGAGCCTCAGACTGATGTAGATGTCAGGGAGTAAAAAAGGCGACTCGGTCTCTAAGTGACTCCCTCGCCCCATCTCCACCTGTGATCTGTACCTGGATACGTTACCTGTGGAGTGACACCTGAACATGTAACCATCAGAAAGAAAGAGGAGAAATGTATTTTTCAAACTGTTCCTTTAGTACAACATGATCCTCACCTTCCATATGAACACCTGCTGGTCACTGACGAGTGTTTACATCGTCTCTGGTCAGCTTTTGTTGTATTTTCTTTTTGTGGAACCTAAACACTGTTTTTTAATGCTGATTTATTCTTGAAATAAATTAAAAGGAAAAACTCAAACGGCCATTGAGGCTCCTCTGGAGCAAATCTTACGCAGGGAAAAATTTGTCTATTATCCAGGAAAGATTTATGAGGTTTATTTCCATTTTAGAAACAGCCTCTCTTGCTCTGGTAAAACAACTACAATAAACCTTCCCTGTTTGATTTTGAGGTTGTTTTTACTTTATTTTTTAGTTTGTGAAATTACACAAGTAATAAGCCATGAACCTGTCCCGGTGCCCGCCTCTGCTTTACCTGACAACAATGTCCTTCCCCAAGCTGCCCAGGAACCTTTAAAACAAAAGTATTAATAAGCACTAGGGATGTCACAACTAGATCAATACGTGAAAAAAAAAAAGACATAGTGATGGACCATTAGTCCGGAAATATGTTTTTAAAACGTTATGTGTTGATAAAAGATGACACAGACTGAGCAGTAAGGGCGACAGTCCACTATTACGAGCTATAAACAGTGTAACCTTTAGCGTTAAGCCGTTATAAACACACAAACAGTTGGCCAGGTGACGCAGCAGACAAAACAAAAAACATACTTCAGGAGAAGGATTTAACAGGGAGAACACTTTGGATATGCTGTTAATATAACATGAGCTGAAACCCACTCAGTCTGTCTGAGGTGCTTCGCTAATTTAAAAAGTGTTTCCTCCTTTTAGATTGAAAAGTTTGATGGTTGCACACTGTTTCGTAGAAATTTATTACTCTCTTTCTTTTCCATGAGTCGAGGCGGAGCTGTAACTGCAGCTGCCCTCTTTCACGTGCTGAACCCACAAACCCCAAAAAACGAGTACAGTCATGTTTACAGGTTCACATAAAATCCATAATAAGCTCTCAAAGTAACTAAATAATATTTAACTACTACTTCAAAGCAAAACAGGAACAGAATATATCACAGAACAGTGAGAAGCTTCAACACTGCTGCTTAGTTTCAGATAATCATAGTTCTTTGTATAGTTTTGATACATCCTAATCATTCACACTAACGTTTCTCGTGCAGGGTCCCATCCGCATCCACAGATGTAGCCCACACACATCTGCATGATCTGTGAGCTTCTTAATGCTGATCGGGGATGTCTGTTGTGACTTGCCCCCCTCTCATAATGTTAGAATCGACCTCTCTCTGCTGCCTCTGAGCTGAATAAAGATCTACTGATTAGGGCTGCAACTAATGACTAACTAGCATCAACATCAATCATAACAGCCAGGCTTTATCAGCCAAAATCATAAGCTCACAGTCTGATTTATTGCCAAGTAAGGTTTAACTTTAAAACTTTAAAATTTTTAACAAAGATTTTTGCTTTGAAACTATATAAAATAAAAGTACATTAAAAGTAAGTACTATAACCAAAATGATACACTAAGAATGTAATGTCTGTTTAGAATAATAAAGCAACAGCCCCCTTTTGTAGTACTTCTGTACTTTATTTTTCCAAAGTGCTTATAAGTTTTATAAGTGGAGAATGTTCTGTAGGCTACATCACAAGCCAGATGTTTTTTGATTTACTTTAAAATGCTAAACCATTACTCAGATTGTCAAGACAGAATAACAGAGGTACGAACATAGAAACTATCTTACAGTTGCAGCCTTTCCTTTGTCGTTGCTGCTGCAGTGGTTTGTGTAACTGGGACCAGGGCGCTCTGTGGGCGTGACTGGCACCAGCCATCTGCCACTGTGCTAACCTCGCTGGTGCTTGTGGAGCTTCTCAACACCGAAAATGTTGAGCACATTTTGGATTCGCCATCAACTCATTCATAAAACTGCCAATCTTCAAGTTCTACACAGTTGATTTCTCAACTCAAAACCTCTCAAAAGTGCATTTAGTGATGGAATAGCGTACAATACTTGTAAAAACAAAAACTGTTCTGCTGTTAGCCTCTTTCTCTGTTACTCCGTTACTTCTCGTATCAGTGCTTCTTCTTCATGAGTAGTCTTACAGTCAAGCAGTCATGGCAGACAGTGGAAGTGATACTGCCCCCAGCATTCCTTTTAGTGCATTGCAGTTAGAAATGAACAACCAGAAATGTTCTTAATAAGAAGATTGCTATCTCTCCCTTAAATGGCATCTTTGTAACGATCCATCAACAATGAAATTTCACGGTGTTGAATTTTTATGATCGACTACAATCGACTAATTGTTGCAGCCCTAGTACTGATCTGTTCATGTGGTCCTGCTGTAGGTGGAACTGGCTCTGTGGGACACAGCGGGTCAGGAGGACTACGACCGGCTGAGGCCTCTCTCCTACCCAGACACCGACGTCATCCTCATGTGCTTCTCCATCGACAGCCCTGACAGTCTGGGTGAGCTTTGCCCTCTGCTGCTGTTGTTGTTTTTGACAAACCCTCTGTTTGCGTCTGCCGTGTTCAATGTGTCATCCTTACTCCCGATACAGAGAATATTCCAGAGAAGTGGACTCCCGAGGTCAAGCACTTCTGTCCCAACGTGCCGATCATTCTGGTGGGAAACAAGAAGGACCTGAGGAACGATGAGCACACACGCAGAGAGCTGGCCAAGATGAAGCAGGTGGGTGGAGCTCAGTCAGCTGGCAAACCCCACCACGCTAAACACATGTTCATTATCAGTTTATCAATTTAGAAATTAAATATGTAAATAAAATGTGTGTGCTCAGTTACGTTTCTGCAGGTTTGAACTAGTTTAATTTAAGACTTTTTAAGACCTATTCCATGTCCATACAAGGATATGATGGAAAATTGGAGTGCCACAATTACTTGCAAAGTAAAGTCATTTATTGCGTGATGTGACACGTCTTTCCACACCTGAAGGTTTAATGAATCAGGGAACACGGTTAGAAACGGCTCACATGAGCAGTTGCTTTTATATGACTGATGTTTAGCTACCATGTTCTCATCTGTGACACCACGATGCTGGAAGAAGCTCCTCCTCTGATAACACTTCTAACCTCTAACCTCTAACATGCACTTCCTGTGCTGTTCTTCTTCTGTCTCCTTACAATTCTCTTTTCTTGATTGCTCTATTCTTTAACTCTTACTGTCCGGAGGTCGCTCAGCGGTGGTGCTCCTGATTTGAATATAGGGCTGCAACTAACGTCTATTTTGATAGTCGAGTGTTCTATCGATTGTTGAAACGGAATCGCAAAATAACACAATGCCTCTTTAGCTGTCAGCTTTTAAACTAAACTTGAGGTTGTTTTAGGAATGTGTGCTAATTAACAGTCAAGGCAAACTAATGAATACTGCTTTCAAAAATAAATCTTTTAATGAACGTTTCTGCTGCAGCAACCGAAAGTTCCACTGAAATCCAGTCCTTTCATGGACTAAACAGGTATATAGAGTAAGAAATAACTGTGTGCGCAGCGCTGTGCGAGCCGAGCACTGATCTGAGCAGCTGGTCTGCTGGCTAGTGATGGAACACCTTACGCACTGGTACTGCAACACACAGGGACAAACTGACACTATATTCATACAAAGACAGGAATAACATCATGCATTACATTTACCGGATTTACCAGAGTCCAATAATAACGATTTTGTAGTAGACAGCGTTTCACAAAGTTTATATAGATTTCCCTAACTCAACAAGTCACAAAACTGTGATTTTTCTTTTAAGGGAGTCTGGGGCGGATTAGCCGCTACCTCATGCATAGACAGGAGAACTCTTTAGAAGGTAACTAACACATTGTCCAGTGTTCTCTAATCTTGCACCCTCGGCAGCAACCTATGACAGCAACATGTTCTCCAGCTGAAAACGTCGCCATGAGCGATGCATCGTTTATGATTGTAAAGTTGGGGAACTTCTGGAAAGTGAACAGGATCGTTGTGTGTAATAATTATTTGCTAGGTTACTCTCAATGCCATTAACAATTCCATTGACCAAGGAAAAAATGTATAGAAAATGTTATAGCTCATAACGTGAAGTAACATGGCTTGTAAATTTAAGATAGCTAGCTAGAAAACTAGTTTACTGAGATGAGTCTTCACCATCCAGTGAGCCGATGTTATGTGCCTCCTCTTTAGATGCTCCGGCATAACTGACGTGGCTTTGCTGCAAATCACAAGCTTTTTGCCTGAGTGAAGAGTCAAATGCTCCCACACTTTAGAGGTTTTAGCTTGTCATGGTGTTAATACCACCGCTGATGTTGTGGTGTTTTAGTAACTTTACTGTTCACATCACTTCACTCCATTTACTGTCGCAACGGCCTGATGACATCATGAAACAATTATTAAATTTGTTGCCAACTACGCTGATTATTTGTTGCTCCCCTATTTGAATATACACCAATAGTGGGTGATGGCAGGTTTTTGATGCAGGCTCTTTACGGCAGCTTTATGAGACTAGTGTCTTTATCTGTTAAACCCAAAGTTCCTAAATTGAGCGTTGCAGAAGGTGCAGCGTCATATTCAAATTCAGCCTCAACCAAGCACTAAATGTTACCGAGCCAGATCTCGTTGAATTTACCCACATTAGATAAAGTTGACATGAACTTATTACTCATACACAGCACATTGCAATATGCTGGGTGTGTGCAGATAAGTTCTGACTGTGCTGCACAGTTTGTATTAGTGGTTATTGGTTCCATGTTGGTTTAGTTTTGTAGTTGGTACAGCGTGATCAATACGGACGTTTTCCCAAAAACACATTTAAAAGCCAGATTGAAGTTAAACTTTATAAAAGTAGTGTTAACTTCATAATCCAATCAATTTTAACGACATGTCAAAATCAGATTTAAGATATTTTATGGCCTTAAATTCAGATTTTATTCATTGTGTTGTTCAATAAAAGGATGCTCACATCCTGAAAGTTTGATTTTCCTTTGTGATTCTGGTTTATCCAAACAGGAACCAGTGAGGTCCGACGAGGCCAGGGACATGGCTAACCGGATCAATGCCTTCGGTTACTTAGAGTGCTCAGCCAAGACGAAGGACGGTGTTCGTGAGGTGTTTGAGATGGCCACCAGGGCGGCGCTGCAGGCCAAGAGACGAGGCAAGAAGGGCGGCTGCCTTCTGCTATAGAGCGTCTGGTCACACAGGATCGGGAGGGAAGGGGGAAACAAACCAGGCCAAGAAAACCAGCCCTCCTCTGTGTTGGGGCGTTATGGAAGAAAAGTCAAACCAGGCCAAAGGGGGGGTGGGGGGGGGGTACTTTTAAGTCCTTTCAACTGAAAATACTGCAATCTGTAGGATTCATTAGACGTGAAGAGAAGGGAAGTGTGGGAGGGTATGTACTAAAGGTAGGTCTCCATGGCTGAGGCCAGCTACAGAGAGAGACCGGGGGGGTCAGAACACCTGCCTGACTAAAAGCCAACTCATACTTCTGTGTCCAGTCTATGCCGCTGCCACGCCATTGTGAGCATTTCTTGTGCGTTGGTGTCTGCGTCGCTCTGCAGTTACACCGCAAAAACGCTAGCGGGTGTTGGGGTTGCTGTGTTCTAGGAACTTCCTGTTTAGCCCTCCGCTAACTTAAACAGGGGTAAAATGATTTAATTCTGTGGCTCTTCTGGACTTTCCACATCAGATCAAATTCTGAAAGCGTAATGTTGTTGTGCTCAAAAAAATGTGTACAGCGTTTTACAGTCGTTTCTTTCACAGCGACAGTCTGTAGCACAGAGCACCACCTGGGTGACGCTACCAAGCCAACCAATCACACCAGTTCCTGCGGTCTGCTTTGCTGCAGCGTGTCGTTACGTTTTTGTGAAGGTGCGCACTGGGCTCCGGCGTAGATTGGACACAAGTATAAACTGGCCTTAAGCATCGAAGACTTACATGGCTTGCAGCGTGACCGTGCTTTTCTTTCTGTCGTTCTGTACGTTTTTCTGTCTCCTAGCCCGCCCTAACTTTCTGTTCCATGGACCTGTAGTATCTGATTCACTCATTTAAAAAGCTGAGACTTATTGAGAATTATTGGCATTGACGGTAATGAGACCAACAAATCTGTTTTACACAAGCTTGTTGATGAAAAACTGTCTGTAACCAGTAAACACACTGTAACCAGTCGGGTATTAAAGGGTTAATGAAATTGTAATCTCCTGGAGACAGTTACTGTAAATTAGTACGTTGACTCCACAGAGGACCAGACATACATATATATAAATATATATATATATATATAATTGGAACAGGCCTTTATTTCTAATCTTCTGTTGATGCAGACTTCCTCCATGTTCACCTCTCGTCTCGATAAATTCAGGATCACGCACATTCCTACGGCACCGTTTCCATCATTGCTGTTCAGCTACCATCACTTAAACGCAGCCTTCCAGCTGGTCAAATTACGAGCTTCCTTGTCACCAGCAGGCTTTTAATTTGAAACATTTGCAGGAAGGGTTGAGTTTCAGCCTCTGTAGCTAAGTAATAAAGTAGCTGTACTGATGGAATAAGTGCTGTGGAAATTTGTACATTATACTGAATTTAAGCATGTGAGACATTATAATAGAGCCCCCCCCCCCCGTGTAAACACACTTTCATTATTTAAATAGCAGCTTTTATTTTGACATGTACAGAGGAGCTGTGTGCCGGGCGTTGTCGATGATGTCTACAGCTCCTCTTTTTCCACTTCGTATTCTGCCGTATATTATTTTAACTATGTGATATTCTACTGGCTTACATTGTATTATTTGCACACAGTTTTAAACAAAAAGGTCAGTGTGGTAAATACACTTTGATGAAATATGTCAAATTTTGAAATGCAAGCGACTCCTAAAGGATTGGTTATTTGTAAGAGGAATATTCTTTTGTATGCAGACGTCTCCTCGCATTCCTCCAGTCGTCTTTTTTAATGTCTTCTAATGGAAATAAATTGGAACTGGTAGTGACCAAACTCTGCTCCCACGCCTCGTCTCTGCACACACTTATTATAAATCATGCCTCTCAGGTCATTTCAGACTTGTGCAGTGCTGCCAAACTGATACCAGATCTGTCAGGTGAAATATTCTCACTTTATTGAACGGTGCAGCCAGAATCAAATGACTCGCTTCATCACAGAGCTGACAGGTGAAGTGCTCTGTACAAATAAACCAAAGGAAACAACTGTGCTGCCGAATGTAAAGTTTGAAAGATGGACTATTTAAATCAGTAGTTACCTTGAAACAGGTTTAATAATTTCACGTACAGTAAATGGAGGTTGGCAAAATATAAAATTTAATCATTTCAAAATAAGATTAGAAGAAGTGAATGACCTGCAGAGATGTTGTGTCTGCACTCAGCCTCCTGGTTTCTGAATGTCTCTCATTGGAGTCACCTGCAGGATTAACACTATTAATACTTAATTATGTTAATAATTATTCATTTGCATATTTAGTGAGTTATTCCTGAAGAACTTCTTTTATGCATCAGCTGCGATAGTTTTAATGCTACCAACATGCTCAATATCCTAACTGTTTAATTTTCTGTAGATGACTTTTCTTATAGATGACTTTTAAATAACTTTTTTTGAGTAAATTTTAAAAACAACAACCAGGGCAGGGATTTCTGGTTTTGCACACTGGTAGAAGGCAAAGCAGGAAAATAAAGCCCACTGCGACTTGAATATCTAAAAACATTTGCTACATCTTGATTGGGGTTTGTCTAAAGGACAAAGAAAGAAGTCAGCTGGGCTCCTCCTGCCAGCAGCACCACGGTGGATGACAACATGCTAACAGACACCTCAAACCTGGACTTCATACCGAACGAGCTGAGGGAGTTCAGGAAAAATGAAATCAACTACACAAACAGGAGAACCTGGGCGGGTGAGGAGAGGATCGACACCTGAAAAGCTGTGGAGGAAGCTGATGGGATCAGAAGAGGAGGCGGCTTCCTCTGCAAAGCAACTGTTGAGGGAACACCTGGAGCTCCCTGCTTCTTCTGAGCAGCTTCTTGACAGCACTGGACAGTTTAACAGTCTGAGGTCTATCTCTAACAGGACCACACTGTTCAAGCCCCCCCCCCCCAGCTCTGGTTCAGCCTCCAGGTGCCAGGCTCACTTCTCTCAAAGCAAAATCTGAGCGCACAATGGTGATCGGCGGCCTTGTCCTCACCTCGACTCTATAACGTCTGATGGAGTGCGGCCACAAAGTCCTGATAGCGCGGCTCTGAAATGAAAAGCACATGGTCAGCTGATCGCATCATTCATGATTTCAGCATGTTGCAGAGTTACAAACCTGTGTCTGGCTCAATAAACGAGTGTCTGATGAGGAAGTCCAGGACCACCATGGCACAGTTGGGTTTGAAGTCTTCAGTAGCGATCAGGTCTTTCACCTGAAAGCAGGACGGAGCATCACAGAACACGCCTCTCATATCTCCTGATATCTTTTAGGGTCACTGCTCAGCATACGAACCTCCTCTATGGGCAGCAGGTAGAAGTCATGCACCTCCCCGTCCCCAACTTTGGGCTTGAAGTCCAGAGGAAGTTCCAAATCAAAGACAAACTGACTCTCTGCAAACACCCCCTCTTCGTCCTCGTAAGTGTAGCTGGGGAAAAAGTCGTTCTTTATGGAAGTCTTTCACTTTGTTTCATATAAAAGTTCCTGCAGGATCAGAGGGATGCTGCACATGGAGGTGGTCCCCCCAGAGGACTTGAATCCTCACATAGACCAAAGCTGTGATGCATTCCCACCCAGTCCCAGTGCGTCCTGAAGAAACTCTGATTTACCTTACCTTTAGACTATTTAAGGGCAAGGCTGTTTTTTTTTAAATCCCATTAAATGCCCTAAAACCATCCACCTCAAGAGAGCGATCACACCAGTGCGCCCAAGAATATCACTGAACTGAAACGGTTTTGTAAGGAGGAATAGTCCAGAATTCCTCTTGGCTGTTGTTCAGGTCTGATCTACTGCCCACATTTAAGACCAATTCATGCAGAAATCCAGGAAATTCAGCAGTGGATGAATCCACATGTGGTGCTGTAGTGAGTGTTTGGGGCAGCAGGACGGTGTTTGTGGGACTGAGTCAGAATAAATTAGTGTTCATGAGGCTCACTGACGGTTTACTGGTTTTATAGTAACAGAAGGAGAGGAGACGTCACGGTGTGAGACACTCAGGACTAAGGGAGTAAACTCCCAGACACTCACCTTACTGTGGTGACAGGATGAGCCCTCTCTGCAATGGCTGCTGGGATACATGCTTCCTCCTGACATTCTTTGATCAGAGTGTGTTTGATGCCGACACCAGCAGCCAGACCGCCGGCCGCCTGCAGACACACATCAGCCTCATTGACCTGTGGAAGGTAACTCACACCTGTCCTCACTGTGTGTGTAGACGCTGGACTCACCACGTTGTCCAGCAGTCCCGGGTACGTCTGCTTAGTGTTGGAGCGCCGAGCCAGCCACATGCTGACCTCCCCGCCTTCACCAACTGTGTAACCGTTGAGATGGACTCCGTACCGCTTCACCCCGAAGAGACCTGCAGGCAGCGCCATGGTCAGCTCAAACAGCTCCAATAAAACACACACACACACACACACACACATTATTTATTTATCAGATGAACACTGACTTGTAGCTGCTCTCTCCATCCACATCACAGGCGGGTCAGAGAACTTCTGCATCACGCTGTACTGCTGGAGGAGAGAAAGACGGCAATACGTTACAGGTGGGGTCGTTTTAGGTGTCAGGTCACTTTACAGTCCAGACCAGTGTCAGTAGGTACGGAAACACAGAGGCACTGATTGGACCAAAAGACAGATCAGCATCAAGACCCCAAAAAGCCCAGGTGCAAACCTCAGTTGGTGGCTATAATACATAATCTAATAACTGATGCGGTCTCTCCTCAGGTCCTGATATAATGTCCTACAGCTGTGTGTCTCACCTCATCCCTCCATCCTCTGAGGCAGGTGAGGAAGTCCTCTTGTCTCAGGGTCTGCAGGACCGCGTCCACAGCCTCAGACCTCCTCCCGTAGGTGTCCAGACCTGGACACAGCGCCACAGCGCCACCGCGCGGCGGGCTGAATACGTCCGGGTACCGGGTCAGCAGCGGGGCCACATGAGGAGGAATCCAACCCACCTGAGCTCCGTCCACCTCAAACCTGAGGCAGTGCGCGCGGCAGGAACCTGCGGAGACAAGGCGGAAGTGGTTTGACAGCGCAGACTGCGGGTTCCACCTGAACAGCGTCACTAAACTCACCTGGCAGGTAAAAGTTGTTCATCCTGCGGAGGAGCTGCAGCACCTTCTCTGACCAGCCGGAGTTCGCCATTTAAACTCCCCGAGAGACTTAACTGTGTTTCCACCGGTTTTTACTGTGAGTTCACTTTTTCACACTGACACCATCACAGCCGCCCGCACTGCGCATGTCGGCTTCTGCTTCTTCTTCTGCTGCGTTCCATTTACCTCGGAGGTCGGAGCTGGGAATGACGTCACACCTGAGTTGACGGCGTTCAAGTCGGAAAACCTCGCTCGGCCTGTGAGCTGTTTGTTTCCAGCTAGCCAGGTTAGCTATTGATTAAGAAAACGCATTATGCGGTATTTACTCACACTAAACACTGTAGCAACACGACCACAGACAGCTGTTGGACAGCACTTTGTGTACGAACATTTATGAGTCACAAGTACACAGAAGTGCTAATAAACAGTATAAGTACAGCTTTGACTAACTGTTGATACCCCGACAGCCATCTCGGATCTGGAAGTGCGGTTCAATGAAGGGGCGTTCCCATTGAAATTATGACCTTTACACTCGGAAATTCCGACTTCCGATGTCAACTGGAACGCACCCTTCTTCTTCTTCTTCTTCTTCTTCTTCTTCTGCTTCTGCTGCTGCTGCTGCTGCTGCTGCTGCCTCCTGGCTGAGCAAACTGCGACTGATCTAAATATGTATCAGTATTTTTAAAACTATCATCTGTGTGCGCAGGTGGGACATGTCCCCACCACTTTCTGAAAAATAGCAACAAGAAATGTAAGAAGACAAATGAAAGGTTTATTTGCACACTACGAAAACATGCACTGCTGTTTAAATATAGAAGAAACAAATGTGCAAATGTGCAAAACAAGTATAAACAAAATCCCATTTCCACCATAAACTTGTGCAAAAAAATATCACCATAATGCAGGAAATTAAGTGTTGTGGGGGAGCCACTCACTCATATATTTTAGAATTGAATATTTCTTCAAAATAGTGTCAACTATCTTCTCATCTTGTTCCTGTGCACCCAATATTGTGCATCATCTCGTGAACTAAAAATGAATCGTAACCCCCTAGATCTGAGCCCTTTTGTCCCCACCGCAAAGGGTGGCCCTTGCCAATGTGTGTAGTATATTATATGTTAACTCTGAATCTAATAATAATAATACACTACTAATACTGTTATGTAGTTAAATCCTATACCAGTTTATATATTTTTTAATTTAACCTTTATTATACCAGGAGAATTGAGATCTCTCTTTTTAAAGGGAGACCTGGCAGAGAAGGGCAGCAAAGGAGCTCCATGTTGAGTTTTTCCTAACTTAACCAACCCTGTGACTTTAAATGCCGCACCCTGCTGGACTGTATTTGGTAAATACTGACTGCCGAGTTAAGCAGGCTGCAGAGGTATCTGGGTAATAAGCACAGGCCATGCATATAGTATATTCTATTTGACACATTTCTGTTGTTGATTAGTCCACATGTTGTATCCGGGATCTTAGAGGTAACACGTTCCCCCAGTGTAGCTGCACAAAACCCTGCAATGATTGAAATTATTGATCTAGAAATATATCTCGCCAAAGCCTTTTTGTGATGAGGTAATAAAAACACTTTGGTGTGTGAAAACAGATTTTACCAGAAAGAGAAGGATTAATAACACACAGCTTAAAATGTATGGACAAAATATGGAATGAGTGAAAGAGTTCAAGTATGTAGGATTGTGGTTTGATGAGAAATGTGTATGGAGGAATCATGTTAAACAGGTTGAAACAAAATGTAAAAAGGTACTGAATCTCATGAGGTCAGTTTCTGGTTACCAATGGGGAGCAGATAAACAATCACTACTAGATATTTATAGGGCCTTAATACGATTGTCTGTTGATTATGGATGTATGTTATATGGAGCAGCAGCCAAGAGTATTTTAGGAAAACTAGACAGAATATAGTTCAGAGCTCTAAGACTCAGCATAGGTGCAGTGAAAACAACCCCTACTAATGCACTGCTGGTAGAAGCTGATGAATTGCCATTATATTTGAGACGATTTGAGTTTGAGTTAAGTCTCACATTAAGCAAATTTCAAGGACCGCCTTTTTTCACCTGCGTAATATTACGAAAATCAGGAACATCCTGTCTGAAAATGATGCAGAAAAACTAGTCCATGCATTTGTTACTTCTAGGCTGGATTACTGCAATTCCTTATTATCAGGCTGCTCGAAAAAGTCCGTTAAGACTCTTCAGCTGATCCAGAATGCTGCAGCACGTGTTCTGACAGGAACCAGGAAAAGAGATCACATTTCTCCTGTTTTAGCTTCTTTGCATTGGCTTCCAGTAAAATCCAGAATAGAATTTAAAATCATTCTTCTTGGGGTTACTTGTGGTTCCTAGAGTCTCCAAAAGTAGACTAGGAGCCAGAGCGTTCAGCTATCAAGCTCCTCTACTGTGGAACCAGGTTCCAGTTTGGGTTCAGGAGGCAGACACCATCTCCACATTTAAGAGTAGGCTTAAGACTTTCCTCTTTGATAAAGCTTATAGTTAGGGCTGGCTCAGGTAGTCCTGAACCATCCCTTAGTTATGCTGCTATAGGCCTAGACTGCCGGGGGATTTCCCATGATGCACTGAGCTCCTCTCTCCTCTACTTTCTCTCCCTCTGTATGCAACCTCATCCCATTATTGCATGTTACTAACACAACTTCTCCCCTTTCTGGTAGTCTTGTGCTTTCTCGTCCCTCTCCTCTCTCCTCCCATCACTTCCTGCAGGTGTTTCTGGCTCTGGAGCTGTGGAGTCTGGATCTGTGGTTGCGGGTCACCTGCTGCTCGACACCCTCTGCTGCAACGACTATTGTTACTAGTCCTATTGTTATTATTGTTATTATAATCATTAACATTACGATGGTTACCATTAACACTACTATAAATATCTGTACCATTTTTCATTTAGTCTATAGCAACATTACCTTCACTGTCTGTACCTCTGTGTGTATACTGTGTTGGCTGCCTCCCTCCCCTCTCTCTCTTCTTACATCCCTCTCTTTTTCTCTCTATTCCTCTCCTGCTCTCTCTCTCGCTCTCTCTCTCTCTCTCTCTCCTTCACCCCAACCGGTGGAGGCAGATGGGCGCCCACCCTGAGCCATGGTTCTGCTCGAGGTTTCTACCTCTTAAAGGAAGTTGCCTCTGTCGCCTAGTGCTTGCTCTTGGTGGGAACTGTTGGGCTTCTGTAAATAGCATCATAGAGTACGGTCTAGACCTGCTCTTTTATGAAAAGCGCTGTGAGATAACTGTTGTTGTGATTTGGCGCTATATAAATAAAATTGAATTGAATTGAATTGAATTGAGTTGTCTTTAGCATATTGGGTCAAGTTAAAAGGATCTGGAGAGGAACAACCTGCTACAAAGGTTCTGTGTGACTGTTGGGAATATACACAACAACTGAAAGGTAAAGGATTTGGCTGGAATATTAATGCAGTAGCAGAAGAATACGGATTAAATACTGTATGGGGTAATGTTCCTCTGTGGATATTTCCTGTGCCCAATGTGGACTTGAAGCTTCTAGAGAAGAAGAAAGAAGGGAGTGAAAGTAATGTGGATAATATTGGATATTTGGCTCAAGATTATGTGAAAAGGAATTATTATAATTATATGCTATTATTTACTAATGGATCAAAAGATCCAGGGACTGAACATGTAGGATCAGGAGCATACACACCTGAGTTTGATGTAGTTATTTGTAAAAGAATTAATGATAAATTATCTGTATATACAGCAGAAATGGTTGCTATTGTTTTAGGGTTACAGTGGATAGAAGAGGTGAGGCCTGAGAGATTTGACATTTGTTCAGACTCCACTGCAGCCCTGTATAGTTTCCAATTTCAAAAAGACAGTAAGAGATGATCTATTGATTGAAATATGTACAATAATGCTGAGAATACAAAGAGCTGGAGTTGATGTGCAATTTGTCTGGGTCCCTGCTCATGTTGGTGTTGATGGGAATGAGAAAGCAGATGAGATTGCAAAGACAGCGTTGAAATTAAAAGATGATGAAATAATGCAAGTTCCCTTTGGAAAAGGAGAGTCCAACTATTACAGCATACAGAAATCAATTAAGGTGAAGGGTTTCAAAGGGAAATGTAGAAGAGATGAAGTGGTTTTTATTGGTTATTGGTTCTTAAGATTAAGGTTTGGACATACTGGGTTAAAATCAACGCTTCATTTAATGGCAAAATGTGTGTCTGATAAATGTGAGGTTTGTAATGTTCCTGAAAATGTCGAGCATGTCATCATGAAGTGTAATAAATATTATTATTAATTCTGAGAGAAACATCTTACGTGACAAGATATATGAATTAGGATGGGGATGGAATTTAGAAGGGATTTTAGGGATGAGTGAGGAAACAAGGGAGTGCTGCAAAGCTCTCTTTAATTTTCTCAAATATACAGGATTAGATCATAACATATAGCCTTTTTTTGTTTGTTTGATTGATTTAATTTTGTTTTGTTTTGTTGAGTTTTGTTTTCTATTTATTTATTTACCTTTTGGTTCACTGAACCTGTAACCTGAAGTACTAAACCTTGATATTACACACTCCAGTACAGTAGGTGGCGGTATGCACCTGAACAAGTTGGTTGCGACCTGCCATAAAACCCAGAGAAGAAGAAGAAGAAGAAGAAGAAGAAGAAGAAGAAGAAGAAGAGGAAGAGGAGGAAGAAGAAGAGGAGGAAGAGGAAGAGGAAGAGGAAGAGGAAGAGGAAGAGGAAGAGGAAGAGTGAGCATGTGCAGGTTTGTGTGCTGGCTGTTCTTGCACACCAGGGGGCGACGTGTAGCGACAGTGTTGGTGTACGATGCGCAGATAAACACAGAGAAGAAGGAAAGACAGTAAAGTATATGTATGCATCCCTGAGAAAATTATATTTATATATGTTCACCAATAATCTCATAAATCTGTAATAGTCGGGCGGCTGTTTGGAATATAAAGAGCCAGCTGGCAGCTCAATGGATCCGTTAACTGCACTCTGCTTTTAACGTTAGCTAGCTTGGAACAAGCTGGCTGGTCTAATTAAAGCTAGCTAGCTAGCATCCCGTCGAGCTAAAATCCACTTGCCTTCATTTTTCTACAAGACGAAGCAACATTAACCAACTAACAACTGTTTATTTCATTTTATTTAGACCAAAGGTAAGATTCAGTATCTGAAATGCCTTATATGCTTACGTTATGCGTCAGCCTGATCAGTCACAGCTAAGAGGGCACACCAAACTGCGTTCAAAAATCTAACAAGTTTAAATTAACTGTTCATTTATTGGCAACCTATTTGAAGGCAGCATGATTTAAAATATTCACAAGCAGCGTCTGCTCTCCTGTAGCTGTGCGGCATACAGGCAGTACACAGAATACTTTCACTTTGCCTTCACAGGACTGTTGTTGTCTGCGTTAGAGCTAGCGCCCAGCAGGTAACGATAACACTGTTTGAGTTCTATAATGCTTAAAGTTTCTCTCGTTAGCTTGTTCTGATGCAGTGTAGTACTGTGCAGTACTGTGTAACTACTTTAAAAACCATCTCATTACTAAAAGTGGTTATTGCCAGTTATTTAACTCTGAACAGCACATTTACGCCGATGGCTTAGAGCAGACTTAATTTACAAATAAGCTTTTGCATTTAACTGATCACACACATTTATTTATGTATTTCTTTGATTTTATAGTCCTGTCTGCTACCTGTTTACACTTTTAATACCTGTGTTTTGTGCATGCTGCTGTATTTATTCATTACTCTGCTTAAGTGCTGGTGTATGTAAACACAGCTTATGTCTGTAAGGTGCTATACAAATAAAGATTATATTATTATTATTTCAAATGTGTTGCCCATTGACCTATCCACTGTATTAATAAAGTGTAACATTAATTAATATATTCATTATTATTAATATATTAAACTTATTCTTGTAATTATTCCACGTTTTCTCCCCAATATTAGGCCTATATATAAATAATATTAATAACAGCGATGTTCCCTCTCAGTGTGACGCTCCATCTGCGCTCCATGGCTTCATCAGAGGTCAGCATGCAGGAAATGGGTGAGGTGGTCATCGTTACCATTCCAGAGTCTGTGGGCGAGGACCTTCCATCTGTGGTGGAGGACGATAAGGCAGTGCTGGTGACCGCAGAGCTGACTCCTCAGCCGGGGTAACGTGTGCACACAGCCTGCGGGTCAGCTGCAGAGACACACTGAACTGAAACTGAGTGTTTGAGCTCAGTTTGCTAAATTGAAACTTAAACACTGTGCGGTTCTTCATGTGGTTTTGCAGGGAGGACGTCCTCACAATGGTGCCAGAGGAAGCAGAAGCTGGAGCCAGCAGAGCAGATTCACTGTCAAAGGAAGAGACTGTCATTGGTAATGTGACCTGCAGGTTACATTTCATATCCAGAAAGAACTGTCCTATCTTTGTGTTAATCATTTTTATAATGTTGTAAATCGTCTTCAGTTTGTTCGCTCAGATAAAAGAACTGGATGCGTGTCTGAGGGAGCTTCTGTCTGTGTCTCTGCAGTGAAGTTAACTGAGGAGGTGGATGTGGAAGCTGACGTCTTCTATCCGATCACCTGTGGAGACGCCAAAGCCACGCTAGTGTGGAAGAAGTTTGTCTGCCCTGGGATCAACGTGAAGTGCGTCCAGGTATGTTAGAAACAGCAGAGGCTGTGTGACAGCAGACGTCTGAACACATTATTTAAAGCCATGTAGAGGAAATGGATCAGCAGCGGCTGTTGACGGCTTTTCTTTCCCCTCTGATCAGTTCAATGAGCAGCTGATCAGCCCGAAGGAGTTTGTGTGTTTAGCAGGGAAATCCACTCTGAAGGACTGGAAGAGAGCTATCCGCCTCAACGGCACCATGCTCAGGTCTGAGTCTCACTTGGTTTGATGTTACTGGATACCAAAAACATGTTTATTTTATTGCACGTTTGATGGAAATCAAACATCTTCAGTTCTTTTTATCTATTAGCTCTTGATCATTTTGCAGAAATATTGCAGGAGTTTGACAGAAGGCCTCAGGATGGCGCTGTTCCATCACACACGGCGGACAGTAAAGCCCGGTACATCCTGACGTTGTGTCTTCTTAAGTCTTTCATCTTATTTCATTTCACAGGAAGATCATGGACTCCGGTGAACTGGACTTCTACCAGCACATAAAGGTGTGCTCCAACACCTGCCGCAGCACTAAGATAGACCTGGTGGGAACCAAAGTGTCCATCGGCGGTGACCCGTCTGCCGAACTGCTTCCTGCCACCCCCTCATCTGCTGATCGTGAGTCCCACAGCCATCAACTGATCTCTGATTCAGACACAAAATGATTTAAAACGAACGAGTTGAACTAATGATGAGTAGGGCTGAACGATTTTGGAAAATAATCCAATTGCAATTTTTTTTTTACCAATATTACGATTGCGATTTAATATGTGATTCATTTTTAAGCTCTTTACCTCCTTATTATATAATCTTAGATATTAGATAGATTATTACATAGATTAAACATACACTGTTCTTTCTTGTGGGTCAGGCCTATGTTATGATGAAATTAGGTGATGCAAGAATTGCATGAATTATTATTATGAGCAATGGTGTAAGTGGTGAAAGTATCAAATTATAATAATATGAGAAAGATAATTTGAGAGTCCTGTCTTGGCATTAAATAATATGATAGAATATCATCAGGTCAGACCACAAGAAAAACTAGGTTCACAACAGTGGATTATACATTAAGCGCTCAATACTAAACCCACAGTTCAACCAGCAATTAATGAGTCGATCTCAAAAACCTCAAAAAATACTCAGTTTGAGGTTCAATTGAAAAGTTGGCCAACGAAAATAAAACCAAGTGATGCCTCTCGTGTTTAATAGACAAGCTTGGTAATTCTCCGACAATGCTGGAGCAAAAAGAAAAAAACTCAACAGAAACTCAAAGACAGGCGAAGCTGGGACATCTGACACTAAAACATGTGAAATGATTTAACTTTGCGATCAAAGCTGTGTTTGAGAGATTTTACGACACCACTTGTAGTTTAACCACCTTCAGCATCATATTTAATAATAATAATAAAAAATTGATTTTATATAGCACTTTATCTTTCTTACTCTAATCACTTCAACAATGATCAGTGTGTGGAAACCGTGTGAGCTCGATGTAGAACAAAATAACATCATCAGCAACGCAGGAATGCAGGAGACTGAGACTTATGTCCATGAATCTGTTGCCCCAGTGCATGCTGGGAGGCTGCCCAGCACACCAACCCCATGAAAGTTTAATAAGCCAATCATATGAATGGTTGGCTTATTGGCATGGTTTCAACTTATTTTAACTAAGTGATAACTTCATCCAGGATTAAACTGTGTTCAAAGAACCCAGTTAGCTGGATTAGGGATGGTATCGTTTCACTTCGAGCGATTCTGGTTCTGTACTGTACTAGAGGGGCGTCTCTGGGGACTCATCTCTAAGGAAAATATCTATTGAATCATTTGTAGACATCATTGGTTTCCCTTCAGTATAAAAGGTGAACATCCGCTCACCTGTGTTTTGTACCTGAGACGTTGCTACTGTTAGCATTAGCTGTATCTGGGGCGTCATTGGTGCTGGGAGAGCGCGACACATTGAACACGGTGCGTTCCTTCAGATTCACACCATGTTGAAGTAAATGCTTCATCATGTTGGAGCTGCTTCCTCCCTCGCACCAAACCTCCTTACTGCAGCTGTTGCATTTTGCTGTGTCGTTCTCTTTTTTAGTGAAGCTAAGCCAAACTTTGGAGTGTTTGCTGCAGTTCAGTCAGGAGCTGAAATATGTAGAAAAATAGGAACTGAGAAGCAGAATCCAAACGCACGGGTCCTAACGAATCAATGGGTCTTGGAAACTTGGTACCGGTTCCTGATACCCAGCCCTCAGCTGGATGGGAACAAAGAGGATCATTCTAGCCTGATAACATTTTAGGCGGCTGTGTCCCCCTGGCTGCATGTCGAAGTGTCCCTGGGCAAGATACTGAACCCGAATTGCCCCCTGTTCTGTTTGAGCACTTAGGCTCAGTGAATGAATGTGAGTGAATGCAGATGTAGTGTAAAGCGTTTTGAGTGGTCGAAAAGACTAGAAAGGTGCTATACAAGTACGGAGCATTTACATTAGTCTGAATTAGTTAAACCACTTTTGAAGAACAGGGCTAGACGTGATCAGTGATGAGGACATGACGTGCATCGTGACCCAGACTGAGCACTGAAACAGCTCCGGTGTTGTTTTCTGTCTGTGTTGCAGTGAACGGAGCAGCGGTCTCGTTTCCAGAGGTGATGGAGGAAACGTCAGAGTGGGTCACAGCCATCGGAGGTGATCAGCACCCTGCACACACACTCAGTCAGCACCATGTAACTGTGTGAACCAATTGGGTGGAGTGTTGTAGTCTTTATTGTGTGTGTGTGTGTGTGTGTGTGTGTGTGTCCAGAGGACTCTGTGGCGTTCTGGCGTGGGGTGAAGGAGGCGGGCCTCCTGGAGGAGGTGGTGGAGGACTTCCAGATAGAGCTGCAGGAGGTGATGAAGGGGCTGCAGGAGAGGGCGTGTGACCCGCCACTACAGGTCAAAGGTCAGAACCATACACACACAGCCAGCTTCATCTGGTACCTGCAGCACCACACACTCTGCTTTTATACTAAACTTTCAAAGTGGCGGTTCCGTGGACTTGGGATCTCACAGAATCTCACGTGACCAGACGTGACAGAAACACAAAAAAATACAAGAAGAGAATCAAATTGTGGATGAACTCAAGGCTGGATGAACAGAGGGAATCAGCAGTGTAAAAATTCACCTTACACCAAAACAGCAAGGGAAAAGTACAATACGCAAAATACAAGGTAACGGGCGGATCTGATACCTGCTGAGGTGATTACAGCCAGTGGCCTGCTTACTTTAGTTAAACAAATCCTAAATAACCCCAATAAACACTCAATGTAAACAGTGAAGTTACTAAAACAATACAACATCAGCGCTGCAGTAACACCTTACAACCTAAAACATCCAGAGTGTGGAAGCATTTCTCTCAGCCGAAAAGGTTGTTAACTGCAGCGTCTGCAAAGCTGAGCTTTCCTGGAAACACCGGAGCATCTGAAGAGGAGGCGCGTAACGTTGTTGCTCTGTGGACGATGAAGGCTCGTCTCGGTAAGCTAGTTAGCGAGCTAGCTTCCCATTAAAGCCGTGTTACTTCACGTTATGAGCTGTAACGGTTTCTATACAGTTTTCTTTGGACAGATTTCTTTGGACAGTTTGATTGATTTTTAATGGCGCTGAGAGTAGCACATAATTATGATACACAACGGCCGCGTTCACATTCCAGATGTGCCCTCACTTTACAATCATAAACGATGCATCGCTCATGGCGACGTTCCCAGCTGGAGAATGTGTTGCTGCCGAGTGCGCAAGATTAGACAACACCGGACAATTTCATACTTTCTAAAGAAGAGAAAACAGTTCTTCTATCTATGCGTGAGGCGGTGGGTAATCTGCCCCAAACTCCCTTAAATCAGTCATAGTTTTATGAGTTGTTGAGTTAGGGGAAAATATATAAATGCTGGGAAACGCTGTCTACTATAAAATTGTTATAATAATTATTGACCCCCCCTGTAAATTCAGCAAATGTGATGCATGACGTTATTCCTTTCTTTGTATATGGTGTCAGTTTGTCCCGGTGTGTTGCAGTACTGGCGTGTAAACTGCTCCATCACTAAACAACAGATCCGCTGCTCAGATCAGGACTTGATTTCAGTTGAACTTTCTGTTGATGCAGCAGAAACATTCATTAAAAGATTCATTTTTGAAAGCAGTATTTATTTTATTGTCGTAACTTGTAATTAGCACATGCCTAAAACAACCTCAAGTTTAATTTAAAAGCTGATAGCTAAATGAGACGTATTGTGTAATTTTGCAATTCATAATCCGAATAGTCGATTATTCGTTTCAATAATCGATAGATTAATGCACTATGAAAATTGTTGTTAGTTGCAGCCCTACTGGAGGCTCGGCCGCATTTCGACGCATCAAATAAACATTGCAAACATTATCACCGTTTCCCACACACATTTATCCTTCAAAACCCCGATGTCCCAGCAGATCAAATGTTCATTCAAATAACTGAAATTGTGCGGATTCAAATAGATCTTCTCCTCAGTAGAAAAAAAAACAAAAAAAGATACCAGGTGAAGCCTGGCGAGACGCCGCAGTCAATAATATTCCACAGTTAACTTACGCAACCTGCCACAGTCTGTTTAGCCGATGGGATGATGCAGTAGTCCAGAAAAGTAAACATAAAACATAAAATCCACCAAAAAGTGTTATTTTCTTTGTAGAGTTCGTCTGGCAAGCCTGTAACACTGAACCCACTAAACTCCTACCGCTTCACCTGTTGCACTCCAGAGTTTCCCCCTCAACGTCACTTCCCACTCCCTATCCGGTGTCAAAACAATAATGAGAAGAAAAAAAACCAACACACAGAAAGCATGTTCACCATCACATTAAAAGCTGTACATGAAGGCAGAATAGCCGACTATTACAACCCCCCTCCATCCCAAAGCCAATGCAGCAGGGGGACACATCAGTAGTCTCATGCACGGCCGTAATGATCGCCAACCGGAACTCAGGCAGCCACCGATCCCAGTCCTGATGGTGTTCCCCTACAAAGGAGACGATTATGGTCTTCAGGGTTAGGTAATGATGCCAGTATTCCACTGCCCACACTACAGCCAAGCACTCCTTTTCTGTGGTGGAATACCTCAGATCAACACCATGGAGAGCTCTTGAAGCAAACACAATGGCTCTGTCTTCACCATTGATTGTCTGCATCAGGACAGCCCCCAAACGCACATCACTGGAGTCACAATGCACCTGAAAGCCAGCGTGGGGCTTTGGCTGAGCAAGCACTGGTGGGGACTGCAGTAACCCTTTAAGGTGTTCACTGGGTAGTAGGATTAAGAGAGTTTAGCTCTGAGGGTTTTCTGTA